AAAAAGGTGTGGGAGTGAAATGCGAGTGGCCGCGCGCGCGACTTTTCGATTCACCACTCGGACAAAAAAGTTGTTTGAAATCGGTGGACAGATGTATGCGACAACACAGTCCGGCCGATTTTTAATGTGAAAATTGTTTTGTATTCATTGAAATTGAGGTAAAAGTCAGTGGCTATAATTAAACATTTGATTTATTCACAAGAATGAATACCGAGTCCATTCGATCCGAATCCGGCTCTCACTCAGTCTCAACAACAATCAAAAAGACGAAAAGGAGAAGAAAAAAAAACAATTCACGAATATGAAACTTTTGTACGTTTCGCGCCATTTTATATGCCACATGCCGATCATCTGAATCCTTTTGGCTTTACGGATACTTTTGTATTGAATTACACCGTATGCATTTCAATCATTAAAAACAACCTCGCCTCTCCACACCGGAAAGCTGTAGAATGAACGAATAATAATAAATCGAAGTTTCAACGACTTTTTTACTTTTGCATTTGTCCTCTACATGCTTTTCTCTCTGCCCGTCTGATTCTCGGCAGCAAAATCAAAAGAATTCGAAACGATTGAGAAAAAAAAGGGGAAAAAATCGGTTTGCTTTTTATGCAAATGCCTTTTGTTTATTTGTCCGCTATTTGAAAATTACCTGTTTAGAAAAGAAACTGGCATTTGATGGCACACACAATGAAAATGAGACGAAAAAAGAGACACGATTGGGCTTCCAGCAGCACAAAAGTTACCGAAATCAGTGTCAGTTGACATTTTCGATGTCGCCGCGATCATGTTACAATTGCAAGACGCTATTTGAAATTGCTGTTTGGCACTTTGTTGAAATATTATTTTCGATGGAAGTGAGAAATGCTTTAATTAGAGTCGAGTCGTGAACAAAAAAAGAGAGATTTGATAAGAGCGCCCATTGCTACGGCATCAACATGAGATAGGACTGCTGGTGACATTTAGCGAGAAAGAATGATAGAGAGAGGGAGAGAAGGGGAGAAAAAAAAGGATCGAGTGAAGAATCGGCGCCAAATAAAACTGAATTTGAAACGAAGGCATATCGAATAATCGCAGCAGTAGCACCAAACAAACAGCCTGACGTACATACAGCCTTAGCATCGTATTCGTGCACAAACACAAAGTCACATGTGTACGCAAAGCCAATTGTCTAATATTTCAAAGCGAGCGAACGATCGATTCTCGGAAGAAGATACACACACACAAAAACTACCAGAGCGGCGCAAAAAGCATACGGATATTGAATTTTTTTCACGTCATAATAATTGAAACCACTACTTCAACTCATCTATCGATATCTCACGTTTGGCACACGCGAAGTCATTTCAGCAAAGTACAATAGAAACATAACCGAAATAAAAACGTGTCGATATCTGCTGCGTACCCAAATTTCATTCAGTTGATATTTTTTGTTTGGCATTGGCAATGGTGCACATGTTGAACGTCATGTGTGCCTTCAAATTCGGCACATTAGCGATGTTGCCGGCAACGTACATATTACATTATGTGTGTGTGTGTGTGACATTTTATATATTTCGGTTGATGTTGAAAAATTAAAATTTTGAAACCATGCATTTTCATACTGAACCAACATCAATGACAACGAAAAACTTTTTAATTACACCTAGTCAAATTCAATGGGTTCAACATAGTAATAACATAAACTGCAACAGCGGCAACAGTGAGTGTGTATGTGTGTATGTGTGTATGCTGGTGGGTGGATTTATTTCGTTGGCAATGTAAAATAGCATTGCGCACACATATGATGGCGATGATGAGGATGATAGTTTTTCCAGAGAGAGAGAGAGAGAGAGAGAGAGAGAGAGAGAGAGAGAGAGAGAAAGAGAGAGAGAGAAAGAAAAAAGCAGCCAAAAACCCTCAAATTTCGCCATATGAATACGTTTCGAAACAAAAACGGAATCTTGTACATATGCGGTGCAAAGTTCTAAACAATCTCAATTTACATCAACCGATGCGCTCATATATCGCTTCAATATTACAATTTTTAGCAATTGCTGTTTCCACAACGGCTGCTGTTGCTGCCGTTTTAGCAGCTATTATGCACTTATGTTTCCGTGCCGTATTCCAAGCGATTTGATTCCTTCATCGCGTGTGCTGCTATTTACATCTTTTTGATGTTGGACTGGAAAAGATTGCCGAAAACGTTTTATCTTCATGTAGTGTCCGATTGCAGCAAATTCATCTCATACAGCCCCGGTATGCATAAATGCGCGTGTATGGGATAGGAAAATTATTAGGTTTTCCGTCAAACGAAATCTATGAAATCGAATATCTTTTGTAGTTTCTTCATTTGTATCGGCTTCTTTCTGAGGAACGGAAAATGCCGAAGAGAGTTCACCCAGTCAATTTACTGAAGCAAAAACTGTGCATGTGTATGTGTTTGTAAGACAAGAAGCGAATGCATCCTTATGTCATTATGATGCAAATTAATATATTAAGTTGGAATTGGTTGAGCTAGAAACTAGCTGTTTTTCTAGCTCAAAATTTTCCCGGAGCGCGTATGTGTGTGTGTGTGTGAGAGAGAGAGAGAGAAAGAGAAGAGGAAAAAACGATGCCGTGCTCGAAATTGATATTCCAGCTTTTTAAAGCTTCCTTTCAATCACAAACCAGGTATATACTATACATCAGCAAAATGCGTTTTTTTCCCTGCGTCCACAATATGCATACAGACTTTGTATGTTTACGTAACTCAAACCTTTTCAATTTCAACGTTCTCAAATTCGATTACTATGAAAGAAACACCAGTTTTGTGTTGGATTTCATTGTTGCATATTTTCCCCGTGTATTTGTGTATGTGTTGGTGTACATGAGTTCAATACGCTGTGATATATTTTCTATGCAATTTCTAACCCTCTATTCAGTGGTTCTCTCTATTTCATGCTAGCTGCTGGTTGGTGCTGCTGCTATCGCTTTTGTTGTTTGATCCCATGATTTTTCGACGTTGCGTGAAAAGCAATATTTTTCCAACGGTGAAAAACTCCTCGAGATCGAATTCGTTTAATGCAAACAACACACAATTTCAATAAATTAGTTGTTTCGCTTTGATATCAGCCATCAAGCCATCGTTGTTGCTGTTGTTACACAGTATCGTCAAGAAGACTTTTTGTTTGTTCATCATCAACATCAGCAGCAGCAGCAGCAGCAGCAATGAGTAATTATCGATTATTGTTCGTAACATGGAATGTAAAATTCGGTACAAAGTTTCACGTGAACTATCGTTTGATAAACAACTTAAAAACGATTCGGTTACTTTGACCTGAGACAAACACGAAAAATTGAGACATTTGACAATGAAACACTATATCGACAAATAGGAAAGAAACACGCTGATACGAACAAATATGTCGTTGGAAATGAAGGAAGCCAACACAAGCGCGCCAATATTATAACAAAAATATCATTTATTGTGGCAACCGCAAAAGAGGGGCAGAGGGGCAGAGAGAGAGAGAGAAAGCCACACCGAAATCACTAATTTTGGCAATACTTTCCAATGAAATTCAATGCAGAATATTTTCGTTGACGCTTGAACACCAGATGTTGATATTCTATTGCTCATACATATGATTTACATTTGTGTGTCTTATTCGTTTACTCTTCGTTTTTTTCATTCGGCGCGCTTTTTTTGTCATTCAGTTAAAAATGAGTGCGATCATTTTTCAGCGTCAGAAAATATACACTTGAGCATATTCCAAGTGGCAAAATGAACGCGGAGACGCGTTTCACAAGTGACAAATGAAATATTGCAAAATGTGTGCGCACATCGTCGTCAACCGGCCAAAAAAGAAGAAAAATTAACAAAAATCCGAGAAAAAAAATTCATGGAAATTGCAGTCTTGTGTGTGTGTGTGTGTGTGTGTGTCAATGCTTCTTTTTTTTGTATTTGCTCAGCCATTTCTCTAGGCAACATTCTATCCATTTCCAATGCAAATGGCCACTCAATGTGTTTGCGAGAGAATCAAATAAAATGCCAAATCGTTTTTTATTTAGCCTATATCGGATGTCAGCGATCGATGTTTCGATTGCTCTAATTCATTCTTTTCGTTTTATATGTGTGCGAATTTGACTTTTTTTCCCTCTTGTTGTGCATTCATTTGCAATGAAACGGCGCTTATATGCTCGCTAATTCGTGGCCTCTTTCGGTGAAATAACGAAAATGTAGAGAGCGAAAAAGAGACGATCAACCGACAAACAAAAATCGACGCATGCTGAGCTGTTTACAAATACATTATTCTGCAAATAATTTAATGACTATTTAAAATGTGTAATAAAATCTGCAATGCATACTAAGCAAGTCTTCAAATAATCTCAATTAGTTAATTTTCGTGTTGCGTCTCGACACAATTCTCTTTCTCCTTCTCTCCCTCTCTCTCTCACTCTCTCTCTCTCTCACTCTTTCTCTCATTTCATTTCGTTCTGCTTGGACTTAATTTATATGGCAAATGATGTCACTTCATTGCTTCTTGTTACACGCTCACTGGTTCAATCATCTTCTTATTTTCCGTTTTCATCCATATTTAACATGTTGCGTATAGCATGAGTCAATTGCGTTTCTCCAAATCCAAAACAATGTACATCATTTTATCTGGAATTGATTTTCCATTTTGTCCGTTAATCCAAACAACGTTTTCAGCACATGATTGTGCAAGCTAAGTCGTGTGTTTAAATTGAAAGCAATTCATTTTGTTTTTGTTTCCACGAAGAATCGAAAGAATCGTTTATTTGGAAATGGTCAGCAAGCAACAGCCAAATAAATTTGATGTTTTAATCGATTAACACAAAATAATAATCAGCAAAAATCTGTTGGTTCGATCGAAATTTTGTGTGATTGTGATTGTGAGTGAGTGTGGTGTGTGTGTGTGTGCGTTCGTTCGTTGTTGTTGTTTCGCTTAATTTTGTACACATTGTATGGAAAATGTAATTAAAGTCTTACATTGTTTCTTGTTTGTTTGTTCGTCTAGGAATACGCTGAATCAGCGATGAATGAGCTGCTCGGTTGGTATGGATATTGCAACAGTAACAACAACGACCATTCAACCGAACGTTTCAATAGTTTGACAAACGCCAGAATGTCAACACCAAATTTTGCAGCATGTTTATCGCGGTCCGCATCATATTCAAGTACGAATCAGTCATCGAACAGCGCTGCAGCCGCTACCGCCGCCGCCGCCGCTGCCGCTACTACCATCACAACCGTTTCCGTTGGAACCAGCAGCAGCAATCGGAAGCGTGAAAACAGTCTATCGATGGACGATATTGATAATACAACCGATAGCATGTCGGCCGTGGATGAACTCACAAAGATGTCACCGCAAACGAGCAAGGACAGTATCAATGCACCAACAACAACAACAACAACAATAACCACCTCAGAAAAATCACCACTCGGGTCACAATCAGGTTTGTGTTTATATACCAGCCAGCTATCATGTTTTTTTTTGTAGTTTATTTTTAGTCCTAAGCACACAATTCATTACGTTCGGAAAAATATCGAATTATTTGAAAAAAGAAGAAGAAGAGTATCCGATTTATGAGGAAAATGAAACTCATTAAAATTTTCAAGAGAAAAACTCTCTACCCCGTTCATGTACGTCTCACGATCAATTGCTTGTCGGATATCCTATGAATACAATCGAATATTATCGGAATTCTATGCCAATACACACACACACACTCACACGATTCAAGTTATATTCATCCATCACACTACATATATGCATGAGAGTTATCCGTAGAAAATGATGTAATATGAAGTGTATCGACTCAATTTTCAATACCCGAATCGATTGATAATTAAATTTTGAAATTAAATATAACTTGAACGGGAATGAATGGTGGTGGTGGTAATGGTGTTGTTGTTGATGATGTTCAACAAAACTATTGAATGACTTTACAGCAACTCGTTCCTATTTTGATGGTTGTATTTTGGTGAAATTCGATACTTTTTTTCCATGAAAATCTATTCCTGTCTGTGCAACTGAATCATTTCGTTTGTTTGCCGTTATTTTTTTGCTTCCTCTCTCTCTCTCTCTCTCTCTCTCTCTCTCTTTCTCCATCAATCGCCTCATTTTTCTCGATTTAATATTTCTTTCTCTCTGATCCGATTTTCCAGATGAATGTGGCTGGTGCAAACGGGTGATTTCATTTGGTTCGTCCGAATTTTCGGCATCTTCGGAAGGGCTAAAATTTTGTTCGGAATCATGTTTCACACAGAGTCGTCGTGCATCATACAAACGGGCCAAAACATGTGATTGGTGCAAGCATATACGTCATGCGGTTAGCTATGTTGATTTTCAAGATGGTGCATCACAATTGCAATTTTGCTCCGATAAATGCTTGAATCAATATAAAATGCAAATTTTCTGCAAAGAAACCCAAGCACACTTGGATTTGAATCCGCATTTGAAAGACAAAGGCAAATCGTCCAACGAAAATTTAATTACGCCCGATTTATGGATGCGAAATTGCCGAAGTCGAAGCCGTTCATTGACACCGGACCAACGTTCGAATGATTCGCGAACCGCCACTGAATCACCCATCGCCGTAACACCAACAATCAATGCCGTGCCATCGATCAAAGTGGCTCCCGTTTCCAAACTACTGTCAACCGAACACGATGCATCGAGGCGACAATCAAAAGACAACGAGCCAACAACGAACGTTGAATTGAAAAACTATTCGAATTTTGCGCAAAAATCACGTGCACTGCGCAAACGTCGTACAAATCGTCTCAGCTCCAATTCAAGCAGTATCTTGGGCAATGAAACCATCAATAACAACGATAGCAACAACGAAAATCGAAATACTCATGGAAAAATCCACGCAACGAATTTGATAAGTGATCCAAATAGAATATGCCTGTTGCAGCCATCATTGATGTCGACTATGCCACCATCAAAGATTTCACCGTCATCGGCAAAGAACCAACAAATCGATGAACCAAATGCCGCCTTTTTGCAACGCTACCAATTGATGTCACAGCAATCGCCGAATTTGTTTGCAATCAATGAAAATCGTTCGCTACAAAATGCTCTACGTCAATCGGCCCCATTTATTGCTCCATTGATTCCGAATGCTGGCTTCCCCGATACTGGACCACCACCGCCACCGCCATCGCTATCATCGTCGTCATCGTTGCCCGATGCCATGCCAAAAATACTACCCGGTCAACCGCATCCATTGTTGAAATTTCTACCGATGCAACGGCAACGATCTGAACCGCCACCATCCCTGAATGCCAATCGTAAACATAGTTTTGGGCCCGAAAATAATCCAATATTTTTGATGCAACAACATCAAAAAACACAAGCGCTCAATGAATATGTGAGCCATATTTTTGGTACGGTAACACCACCGTCAACACTTCTGATGCCATACCCAATCATTTTGCCAATCCCGTTGCCAATACCAATTCCGTTGCCATATGAAGCATTTTTAAGAGCCGCCGAAGTCAAGCCAACCAATGCAAATTATGCGAACGGCGTTCGCAGTAGCTGTAGCACCAATGAAGATGATAGTCTAGCGAAAAATTGCCGAAAATCGAATGCAAACGATCAACCGCTTGATTTTACAAAAGATAACATTGCAAATGAAGTACTCAAAGCATCCGATAACGATGAATCTGATGATGACAAAGAAGATAGTAGCCGAAGCTCCAACAAGGATGGTGCAACACATATCAGAAATGAGCTGACGAAATTTCGGGCCAATCGACAAACGGCAAACAAACGATCATTGACCAAAGAGCCAACATCCGAGAATAATCGACCATTACGCAAACGGAAACGGGTCATTGACTGCGACTACATGCGATTACGGGACTCCAACTCAAATGACACAATCAATTCAAGAAAATCCATTTAATTTGAATCCTATTCAAAATTCACTTAACACAGTTGCTAAATAAAAAACGAAAAATTACCAATAAAAAATTATATGATGAAAATGTATACAATTCCCCTATTCGAGTAGAGAAATGTATGATGAAAGAAGAAAGTAAAACAAATGCCATGGTTTAAGTTAAATATTGGGATTTAATCCAAACTTTGAATCGTAATTTCCACAATTTTCTGTTTCTCTTTATCATTAGAATTAGTTGAGTTTTTTTTTTGTACATAAAAATTTCATTTTTCATTTAAAAAGAAAGAATTATAAAATATATAGAATTTTCTTTAAATTTAAATTAGAGAAATTTTTTTGCTGTCGAGAAAAGAGAGAGAGAGATAGAGAGAGAGAGAGAGAGAGAGAGAGAGAGAGAGAAAAAATAGAAACAAAACTGAAATTTCTCAATAAATCATTTCAATTGTATTTGTAACGTTTTAACATGTTTTTTTGCTTTGTTTTTAAGTGTTTTTTTCTTCTTCTCAGTCACTATAATTGAATGACTTGTTTCATATTTTGTGTTTATAAAAAAAAACAAAATACAGAAAAAGTGTACGTGTCACCATTGCAACAGATCGTTTCAATTATTATTAAAGAGTTCTTCTTTTCAATCTTTTTGTTTTTTTCTTTTTCAAATAAATTTTTGTTGTTGTTGTATTGCATCCGCTTGTTGGTGCTGTTATCAATTGGACTAGGATGAAAATTGTGTATTCGTTTTAGCCACCGTGTGTGTGTTTTTTCCTCATAAAACCGACCGATTCCGCCCGTATTTCCATTAGATTCCAATCATTTCGATAGCGTCCTCAATTATTGTATAGATTCCACAGTGAAATGACACCGTCGGTGCTGGCGCATGCCATAATCGGTGATTTCCAGAGGTCAACTTTGCCCGGTGAATAGGCGATATCATTGACAGCGGCTCGATGCTCAGTCAAAACGGTAAGTGGTCGCAAGCTTTTCCATGAGAATACACGTACACGTCCATCATTGCCACCCGTACTAAAGACCTTTTGATCTTTGCGTATGCGTACACAATTGATGCCCGCATTTTTGATACTAATATCACCGCGATTAATCAGTTTAACATCGTTATTGCGTTGATATCCAAAGATGCCAAGCTTATCGGTGGTATTACCATAAATGCCCCGGTTTGCCTCTGAACAAAAGTCAAATGCAATTGGACACTCTTCGAGTGTGGTCACATTGATAATGCTAGCGGTGCGGAGATCCCATGTAAGAAAAATGCCCGATTCATAGCCAGCCAACAGGTACAATTGATTTGAAATTGTGACGGGTTTCATGCACATTAAACTGCCAAGCTGTTGTGCATTAACACCTGGTGGCTCCTTTCTCTCGTCTAAAATGCCTTTTGGATTGAGTGTCATCGTTTGATCATCATCATCAATATTCAATTTGCCGATACAAATTTCGTTGTCATTGCTGGGATAATAAATGCGATCATCGTCATCGGTAGCGAAACGACAAAAACCGATATGGTTGGTGTCGTTGGTTGAGTCAAGCACATAACCAGCGTTTGCGATGTGCCATCGTTTAAGTATGCCGCCTTTTTGTTGTGTCACCAGTGTTTCTTCGCCATGATAAATCGATGTGACCGGTTCGCTGCCAATGGAAAAATGTAACGGCGATCGACATGTCTGTTCATGGGCAATCGACACAATATCACATACGATAGAAAGGGAGAAAGAGAGAAAGAGAGAGAGAGAGAGAGAAATAGAGAAATGCATGTGTGAATGGAGCCAATGGATTTATAATTGGCATTAGTGTCAATTGGAATGGATTCCAACGAACAAAAAAAAATGTGTAATACCTGCATATCCCATAGATAAACAGCACCTTTGGCTGTTCCGCTGAACAATCGTTCCGTACTGTGGAAACATATACAATTTACAGCACCCATATCATTTGCACGCATACAGAATACCGGGTCCGGTGGAAGCACAGCCATCTCTATTCTCTATTTTTCACGGAAAAAGAAGAAGTAATAGCGTATTATATTGAATCTAGTAAGAGTCTTGTTGTTGTCGAATCGTTGATATTGTGTGATATTTTTCTTTTTCTTCTTCTTCTTCTCTATATTGCGTAGTTTGTTTTTTTTTCTTTCTCGTTTTTTGTTGTTACTCTTACTTGTTTATTTAGTTTCCGTCGTTCGTTTTCGTTCTTCGTGTCACACACTTTCTCACTCTTGCTCGAAAAAAATGGTTTCCAGTTGCTGAGTCTTCGAATTGTGTGTGTCGTTTCACAAATAAACCACCGCTGTTCGCTGTCGAAATCGATGATTCGTTTAGGGCGATTCGAAAACCAATGGATTTGTTATAAATTGGATTATCACACCATTTGAAACATCGAATTTGGGTCGACGAACGGTTTGGAAATTTGCAATTGGAAATTGAACGAAAAACTAAAAAATGCAAAACAAAAATATTATCCAACCAAAAAATAATAATCAAAGCATCTAGTGTTGATGAGAGAAAGGAGCTCACTAGAACACGCACTAAATCACACAAATGAAGAAAGCAATGAAAATAAACAACATACACACGCACACCATATACATGCACACGTGCACCTATACATACACACACACACACGCACACACCTAGTGAGCATTTAGCGCAATAGAGGCAAGCTTCTAATGGAATCGAGAAACAGCTGGTCGAATTGAAATAAAAGCGACGTCTTCTGTTTAGTATGCGTTACCGTCGATTGTATAGCAGTTTGCTTGTTCGCGTTTTATGTTGACAGCTCATAAATGCAAACGGCGTCTCCACTTAGCAACGTTCAGACCAATGCTTACTATGCAGACACCGATTTTTCCGTCCGTTTTTTCGCTTCTGAATTCTGTTCGAAATCAAATCAAATGGAAATAAAACGCATTTTCAACTGTGTTTGTGGTTCTCTTTCAAACAAAAATTATTTAATACAAAATAGGATGTTGATGAACTACACAATTTCTTAAGAATTTCTTAATTGTCTGCTCATTACATTCTAGCCCTTAACATTGAGTGTTGTTTAATTTTTGTTTGTTAAATTTTTTTTTTGTTATTGTATTTATTCTCTTTAATTCACATGTTTGTTTCATTTTTGTTTTTATCTCATAAAAATAATGTCCTACAGCAGTTCTGGTTGGCAATTGTAAAATTAAAATCATATTTCAATCGATTGGAGCATGTCGAGTATTTTTTTTGTTCTTTCTTTATTCATATTAATTATATTTGGTTGTTCAGGAGCAATAAGCAACAATCTAGTTTTTGAATTTGTCCAACGAGAAAATTCATTGACTCTCTCTCTCTCTCTCTCTCTCAATTCGATCTAGTTTTTTTTTCCCGAGGAATTACTACACTCTCTGAGAGAGTCTCTCTCAAAACATTTCGAATACATTGTTTTATTTAATTTTACGTCAACCACAAATCGGGTGACGAGTCTGAAATATCATAATCTTTTGAACTAAAATCAATGGTTTCCAATTGTTTTTTTTTTTAATTGCGGGTCAAACAGAATATGAATTTCTTGCTATTATCTCTTCGTTTTCACATGAAACGAGGGAAAATGCGCAATCGAAATGAAAATGAATTTCGTTATTGGTTATTGTTTGTGTGTCTGTAAAATTTCACAAATATTCACTTAAAAACACCTGGTTTTATACGGTCGTATAAAAATACAATTTCGTACGGCCATTTACTTACACAGTCTCTGTTTTCTTGCATATCGCAACATTCTAATCGCAATCTACGATTCTATTCATCATTTGATTCTCAATTGATTCGCATGCATTCATACATTCGTTACCTTAATTACCCTATATCATTTAACATCAACCATAAAATGCACTAAATCAAAGAGAACGGACCGAAATTTAAAAGAAATAAAATAAACAAATTATTCTCCAACGGATTATTTCTTTTGAGAACTTTGATTAAATCAAAGATGAATAAAGAAAAAAAGAAGAAAAATTGTAATCACGATAAAAAAAAACGTAGAAAATTGATAATGAAATAGTGCCAATAAAAAAAATTGATAACAATTATTCTGAGAAATGTAATTTTTTTTTTTTTGAAGAAAAAGGCATTAATTGTGCATTTCATTTCCGGAACTCGCGTCAAAAATATAAACCGAACATACGCACATGAAAACAATGTTAAAGCTTAAATTCCAACGATTCGATTTCTGTTCCATACTCATTTTTTTTCGCTTTCTTTCTATCTATTCACTCTGAATCGTGTTGTTTTTGTTCATTATTTCCGAAAATAGTGTGGTATTTTTTTTTTTTTGCAATTTTCCTTAATTCTAGTCTTTGTTCGTTTCAGTTTTCTTTTCGTTAAAGAATTCAAAATTGTTGGTTGTTGCTCGGATGATGTTGGATTTGAACCATTGAAAACACAAAATTAATTGTTCATTTTAAATTATTATTATGAATATTTACACTTTATCTCTCCGTTTATTTCAGTTGAGGTTGTGCCTACGAAATAAAGCAAATGACAATAAAAATTAATTTGACGAAAAAAAATTATGAATGAATTAATGAGACGAAAAAACCCAGTTGCAATAGAAAAATTCAAAATTAAAAAGAAAAAGAAAGGAATAAAAACAAATTAATGAAAAAAAAAAAAAAGAATTCCACTCTTAAATGGAGAGACTGATTTAAAAAAAACGTCAAACAAATTAATCGACAAAAATCTTTATACAAAAATGATGTTTTTTCCATCACTTTTTAAATTCGTTACACGAACAATGCTCTCTTTTTTAAGTCTGTAATCATAAACTTGTGTATTTGTTTAAATCTCTTTTTTTCTCGGTTATATTTACCATAAATAGATAATTATTCAGCATTTCATACTAAATTTGTTGTTGTGGTTTTTGTTGTCACCAATAGAACTAGTATTCAGTGGGCACCGCTCATTACTATTACATTATATTAGCATCACATCATTTTCAATAATATTTAATAATTAAGTAATTAGTGAATTGGTTGCTTTATTTATTTCTCATATGTGTGTCTCAAATTCATCGGTTTTGGAATGAACTGCTGCTGCTGACGCTGTTTTGTACAATCGAATTGGGAATAAGTGTTTAAATAAATTGGCGAAATTCTTATAACACTTTGTGATTGTTTTGTCTGTTGTGATCTATTTTCCCATGGAAAAATCGAAGATGACATTTGCCCCCACAAAGTCAATATTCAGCAGTTTAATTCACGAGAAAGACACAAGATATTTATCCTAATCTGTTTCTAGTCAAAACACGAAATAACGCCATAACAATGAAAAAAGTTATTGACGTGTATCGTTTATGACCACGGGGAAAATCAAAATGGATATGTTTTCTCTCTCTCTCTCTCTCGACCATCTACATTAACTTTGTGCGGTAAAAACGTCATAGTTGATTTTTCGGTGAGTTTGAACGGAAAATTCACAGTGCATGAATGATAATAATATATTAAACAAAAATGTAAAATTCTCGCACGAAACGCGTTTACATATTGGCGGTGATGTGGCAATATTTTTTCTAAATGTGGCTCATTTCAAATGGCTATTAACTCTCTGTTTAAATATACATTATATACTTGTTTTTGTGTTGTCATGTAATCAAAATAAGAATATTCAATGTTTGGCCCCAAACGAAAGGAGTCTGACGTTTGAGTGCGAATGTATACGATTGATTGCTTGAAGTTATTAATTGAACTGTTGAAAAAAAAAAACACGAGAAATGTGAAGAGAAGTGTTAAAATCGATTTCGGTTAATTAATGTTCAGTCCATGCTATTGTTGGATTTCTATTTAAATCGAAATGCCAATATATGTGGTCTACAATTGCAAATTGTTCGCGTGATGGTTTTTCTTTTGTCTGGTGGATGAATTTGATTTTTTTTTTAAATATCCTGTGCTGTCCTGTGCTTAAAATTAATTTTTTTATTTCATTGAACAAATAACACTAATACAAAATATTAAATGGCACCGCTGCTTGCTGCTTGCTACTTGAGCATCGGCATCTCATTGCTGACTGCTGCTGTAATTGTTGAAATTGGACTGCTGGGCACGAGAGTGAAGGTAAAATCAGTGGGTAGAAACTACGATTGAATTGAGTTTAAAACTGTGATTGAATTCACTTGAATACCATTATATCGTCTGAATCGTCTGAATTTCACGCACACAACACATCAGCAATTTGTGGAGATGCTTAGCAGTTTTTCTGTCTAGTCTTGAATAATTTTTTGTTTGCTTGCGCATTTCATCTAAATTAAACGATTTACTTAAATTGTTCATATTTTTTTTACCACATTCTGTGAACATCGAAGTTCAGTTGCATAGGTTTTTTTTTTTTGGTATTTAAATCCAAATGTACAACAATCGTAATATACGCTATCGATCGGTCTAATTTAATGTGCTATTTTTTTCTTCCATGTTTTTGTATATGGGTTGATTGATCAATAAATGTTCGCTTGTTTTTTCTTTTTTTTTTGTCAGCACTACATAAAATGTAGACAACTATTGTTTTTATATGTTTTGTTGATGTTGTCACAAAATGACCGGATTCGGATTTAAAATATTCTCCAAATTTGTATCATTTTTTTTTATACAATCAATTCGTTAGTGTTGTTTAACTTAATTTGTCGTTATTCATCTTAATAGATTTGTTTTTGTTAGTTTGTTTTGTTTCTGGCACTAAAATCTTGGTTTGTCTAAATCTCATCACTTATCGCCTAAAATAATACTTTTCTTTGTTTGCTTAAAATAATCAATTCAATAGTCATTATCATTTATTTGTTGGCTAACATTGAAATGCACACTCGTTCACACAGTTCTACGGTTCCGGTTTTGTGAATCTAAACATTGAACTAATGTAAAATGAAATGGTGTGTTGGCTTTGGGATTTGGTTGGTTTTGTTGAATTTGAATTGATGTTTCTTTTGAATTTTGGATTTAATTTCCAATTTTTTTTGTTCAATTTCAACGCTAATAAAATAGGATTTTTAATTCAACTGAATTATTTAACCAAAAATAAAGGATGTGTGCTTTCGAATTGAGAAACGAAAAAGGGAAACAATTGGTTGGTTCAATTTTTTGCGAATGTTCCAGCCAGTGATTGATGTTAAATTATGTGAACATTCTTCGAAATTGATAGTGTATCGGATCAAATGAAAACAAAACTAGCTCAATATTTGCAACATTAAGCCAAAATAAGAAAACTCGCAGTTTCTGTTAGATGTTTCGATTGGCCGTTTCTTATTTTTTTTTCTTCATCCTAATTAAACGATGAATACAATCCATCAACATGGAAATTAATAACATTTGGTTTTTGCTCTCATTATGTGTTGTTGTTGTTGTTGTTTTTTTTTTTGTCACAAATAACATTCACTAATCTAACTTATGAATTAAATTTAAATTCTAGATATTCTCTCTCACATGTTGTTATCATTTAATTAAAGTTATTCATATAATTTTTTTTTTATTTGAATTCATAATATTCTGAATTTTTTTGTTCTGTTTGTTATTCCTTGTCAATGTGAGCTTGTGTATTTTTGTATAATTTTAATATTTGTTTTTGGTTAATTTCTCTGTTGAATTCGTTTTTAACTAAACTCTTAATTAATTTTTTTTTCTTTCTTTCAAATGGATGAACTTTACACACAGAATAATAACACTCATTGTTTGGTGCATAAAATGATGAAATACTGCTGGTGATTGAGTATTGCAGGACGCAATTGAACGGCATTTGGGGGCATAATGGCAATTGATTGTGTTAAGCGGCCGCATAAATTCAGCAATAAACAATAATAAATTTTGAAGATAGTCAATTTGTTGAAAAAAAAAATTGGTTAAAAAGGCGTTGGATTTTGTTAAGCAGTCATCATCCATTCGCTGGAAATTTCCGATTGGCAAATGTTTTTCCACTAGGTTTTATTTTTCTCTTTCCATCGTGCCCATCACATACGGCTAAATGCTGAGTTATTTTGAATTCTGTCTTCAATTTGTGGTATTAATTTTCTTTTTGAATGGGTTGGTGCCTGTTGCAAATGTGCAATGAAAGTGCTGGAAAATGTCCATGGTATAATTTCGGCTTGTATGTTTAGTACAAGTTTTTGGTAGCTTTCAAGGGCGAGTGATTGCGTATCATGTTCAATTTGCCAATCATGGGCGGCAAATCATCATCATCATCGTCTGAGTCACTGCGAGTCGACACTCGACCATTGAATTCGTCATCCTAAACGATTTTGAAATAAAACACAGAGAACAAAGAAGAATATTATTAATATTTCAAGTGAATTTTGGTTTTATCGACTTTTGCTACATAAAACAGATAATACGACATTGAAAGGTGCAAATTAAATCAAAGTGTTTCTTTCTTTTCTCTTTGCTATATATTTTGGTGTGCAATTTTATAACATTGCCTAGCACTAGAGGTAGGTGTTGGATAATCTTAAAAACGAATGAATGGTGCCAATTGAAGAATGTGTGAAATTAAGTCGAGTCAGTCATCGTTTATCATATTATTCAAGTGGTCTGAACTTAAAGCAACAGAAAACTAATTGTTTACGAGAAAAAAAAACAGAACCGAAGAAACTAATCTGCTTGATTTTTTTGTTGTTGCTCAACCAGATTTTGATTCGTAGGTCATTTGGTGTGCATCAAAAAGATTGACGACAATTTTAAGACGAACAGAAAAGAAAAAAATAAAATAAAATGCACAATCATGCAATTAATACCCGGAATATATGAGACGACAGTGATTCGCCGCGCGATTTCGTGCATATGAAACAAAATTAGTTACCGGTTTTGATTTTGCGTTCATTTTATTTGGCGTATCCTCGATTAAAATTGCTGGGTTAATTTTTGATTTTCGCTGCCATAGTTTTCGTATGGTTTCGTTTTCGAAGCGGTTAAAGTCTTGATGATTAGTTACCATGACGACGAGAGTTTGGAGATTCGGAATTTGCCGAATACCATTCTGCACACATATCCATATTCATGCTAGCGATGATCGGTTTACTCATTTGCTCAAGGGTTTGATTCAAGGTTGAACGGTGATGGGTTTGATTCTCTATTTTTTTTCATCTCTCAGGCATTTGTTTTGTGTATGAACCGAGAAAATAAAACATGTGCACAAACATACCGTCGAACCAGCGCGCGCGCGCGCGTATGTGTGTGTGGACGAATTTGATTGATGAAGCGATAGCCGAAATCGGTGCCGTTGATTGTGAGAGCACAAATAACAATGTAAGTGTGGCTTGGTAATATTTGAATTTATTGATTTACTGGTTGTAGTTGTTGCTGTTTTGTGTGTCAATTTATTACTGTTTGTGTCAGTTGTTTATGCACTGTTTTTTTGTATCATTTTTGTTTTGTTTCTGAGGGGAGGGTAGGGTTTTGATTTTTTGATTTCGGTATGTTTTATTTCTGGAGTGAAAAAATTTAGATCTTTAGCACAATGTGTTTTTATAATAACATTTGTTTTAATTTGTTTTTTTTTTTTTGTTACACAGACAAAGATATGATGCAGAACAACATAGGAAGAAATGCATGGAAATAAAAGAAGAAGATGAGATAGAAACCACATTAGCACATGATTTTCAGTAATGGAATGGAAATATAACAAATGGATTCCATTGCTTGATTCACATAAATCGCATTAACCAGTGACGGTGACCGAGCACCACAACATCTCCCGGTCACCGACTGCAACAAAATGCGTATGTAATGGAATCAAGGAAGGCTCCAAAAGAGAGGAACGAATGACGAAATAGCAAACTAAAACAGAACAGAATGATGTAAATGAGTTTGGATGGAGTTTTTTTTTCTTCTTTTCAAAACCAAAGATCAGTAAATTGAATTGATAGAGAGATCAAACGCAAAAATGATGGGAATAAAAAATCAACGGAAAACAGTAAAACACCGATGAAACATGATGAAATGATGAACACAAAAGTTAAGGGGACGAATGCTGCTAATGAAAATGATATCATAAAATGAAACACGAGAAATGATGAGAGACGGTCAAACAGAAGAGAAAATTCAAGAGTCCACAGCCGAAGTGACACTTACATCGAAGTCCCCGATGGTAAACCGTGTTGCCGCTAGTGAATCAGTTGGCGGTAAGTCAGGACTAATCACCTGTTTTCGATTTGTTGGCGTGCATCAAACACAAGAATTTGTTTTAAAAATGAGTAGAAACAAAATCGATTTTTTGTTGTTGTTGTTTGTTGTTTTGTCATGGTAAAAATGGTCGGGTTAGTCAGTGAAATTTGGTAACAATCAACAAATAACACACAGACGCATTACAAACCGATTTAAAACAAAAATGGACGAAATACAAAAATTCAAACCAAAACAAAACAAAAATTTACAATAAATAAGAAGCGGTCTACTTACGTCGTCATCGTCCATCATTTGTTTTGTTGATGCGGTCGTTTCGTTCCTTCGGATCGAGCCTTGGTGTATGTCCAAGTCGACTTTTAGTATTTGGAAGCGTCGCAGCAAGTAAACAATTGGCATTGGCAGCACTCCAGCTACAATCATCGAGAGGCCAATGGCCATGACCCATCCCGGGTATTCGGTCGATACAGTGGCCGACTGTGGATTTGATAACATCACAAAATTTGAATCATAAGAAGAAAAAAAAACCCATTGAAAGTATTGTAAATTAAATCAAAAATTGAAACTATAAAATACAAATGGGTGGATGCTAGGTATTCTTTTCTTTTCTTTTCTTTTCTTTTTTCCCGCAACTTACTTCTTCTGCTTTGTATGCACTGTATGTGGGGTTGTTAACTGCTAAGCACCAAATTGACGATATAAGTATAACACCCATGATGACTGGCCCAATGTATCGCCATGTATATTGCCAATAGCGACCCGGACGATAGCCAGTCATTTGGTAAATATCTTCGGTAAACCTGAAATAATATTACCAAATTTCGATTAACCAATTTACGTCTTATGGCCTTTGATCAACGATAAAATGAGGGAGAAAAAACGATTTAAAAGAATATTGGTGTATACTTTTCGTGTCCATAAATGTAAATCACAGCGATCATTTCCATGAGTGCAATTACTACTAAGCCGATTGTACCAGCAAACGAATCAAACATTTTCAACCAATATTCACCAGCACCAGTACAGAATATTAGACCGACGATGAAGCAAAACAGGCAAACCGTAGCTGCATGGATTCAAAAATACACATTTAACATGAAAAACACAGTATTTTTTTTTGTTCTAAAATTTCAATTGCGATCGTCTAGATTTTACATACCGGTTACGTATTGTTTGCGCAAACGTTTGAATATGTCGATATCGAATAATGTGCAAAGCATTCCCTCGAGAAGACCAATTTGGGAGCCAAGACCCAATGACAGTAACATTGTGAAGAATAGCACAGCCCAGAATGGTGCGCCCGGCAACGATACGATGGCCTGTGTGAATACGATAAACGCCAATCCAGTACCTTCGGCTGCTTCACTTAGTTGATGCTTTAAACTGCAATTTGGCGATATTCCCCATAAATACGCTTTGCTCGCATTTTGCGACAATACCAAATCCAATTGTTGATTGTAAATCGTGTCGCTCACATTTTTTTCATTTATGAAATGATGCTCGAATAATGCTAATCGATTTCTAGGTGCCGAAATGAAAGGAAAAGAGAGATAATTGTAAGTTGATATTGCAATCAAAGAAAAGGGCAAAGATAGAAGAATAAAAACGATTCCATCGGCTACTTACTTGTCCATACACCGTTCTGAATCGATAGTGGCCTTAAATCCTAATATCGAAAATATGACAACGCTCGCATAAATGGCAGTAAATGCATTACAAAAGGAAACCAATAAAACGTCACGAACACAGTGATTTTTCGGTGTATTATAGCTTCCGAACGCAATCAACGAACCAAATGCCAAACCAAATGAATAAAATACTTGGGTTGCCGCATCCAGCCAAACCATTGGACTTGCCAATTTTTCCAGTTTGGGCGTATACATGTGCACTAATCCAGCACCGGCACCTTTCAATGTTACGCCACGTATAAAGAAAATGGTCAACACAATATATGGAAACAATGATGTAAACCACACAATCTGCCGAACGAAAGGAGAGAGAGAGAGAGAGAGAGAGAGAGAAAAAATGTGAGAACAGAAATGAATGGTCCAATGTAAACATTTAGATTTTGAGTTTCAAATCAAAATTCCTTTTTTTCCCTTTTATAGCAAACAGAAAAGGGGAAAAAAGCGCGTCTACCTGACTACTTACATTGCCCGAACTTTGGATGCCTTTCATGACAATGAGAAAGACGATTGCCCAGGCGGCAAACAAACACAGAACAATCCACCATTTGAGTCCGCCACTCTCGTCCATTGACGGTGATGCGTCAAGCGTTGTGTGATACCAGAAGTATGTCGTGGGCGATTTACATTCCGGTTCAACGGTATGTGTTATTGAGTTGTTCGGGCATTGGGCCCACGGCAATTCAATCTGAGGATAATAAAAGACGCAACAAAGAAAAAAAAACAATGTAAGAAAAAACAAATGATTGTTATACTTAGGTAAACAAGAATTAACCCTCAACTGCATGAATTTTTCCCAGGACTAGATAACGAAAAAAATATTCATAATCCTAGATTCTTCATGGTTTAGTCAGGAAATGCGAATGACATAAATCGAAAAACGATCAAGTCCATTGTTTAAAAGTGTCAAAAATTTGTCTAACGTGTGATCAAATAATTTATTTTGTCAAATTTTCGTTTTCGTGCACATTTTTGTTCATAACTCACCAATCGTACTACATAAACAAATAGCGCCAAGAAAAAAATGAAGAAAAAACGTTGACAAATAAAAATTCCCCTTGAAGCAATGTGATTCGACATACGATTCACATTATACAGTCGTTTAAATGATGCCAGTCAAAAGGCGGGCTTATGCAGTTGAGGGTTAAAGCATACAAGTTGTGTTGAATTTCTCTTTAGCCACTTATAATCCATTTTTTTCGTTTAAAACAACATCGTCTCAGTTCATTTTCATACAATAAGACACGATTATTCTGTCAAAATTTTACTTACGTCCTTCATTCATCGAAAAATAAGCTGGAAATAGCGCAACAAAAATAGGAAAGCGAAACTGAAGGAACAATGGAAAATTTGAAAAACACAGTGAAAAACACTCAAGACATCAAAACAATTCGCTATGGAATTCTGGACATGTTTATATCAACAAAGAGAAAAAAATGGACGTTGTTTGACTGAAAATAAAATGAGAGAAAAACCTACATGGGTTCAAAAATAAGCATCCTTTCTGTTTTTTTTTTGTCTGCAAGAACAAAAATAGCAACCCATCGGTTGTTTTTCTTCTGGGAAAGGAACAAGTGAGGAAGCAGAAAATTTTCTTAATTGTCTTTTTGTGAATGATTTTTATATTTTATTTGTGTGTAAAACACTGTGGATGTGGATTAAAAGCGGTTAAAAGAGAGACTCCAGTATTTTTTTTTAAAAAAAGCAAACGAAAAATTATACGTTACCCGAAAACTATTGAGCAAGTAGAAAAAGCACCATGTAATCACAACATTATAGTAAAGTGTTACAAACAATGTTACGATGCAGGACGATATCCCGATGCCACCCAGCCACGGATGTATTGTATTCCATACGCCCAACGAACCTAATCGCATTCGCTGACCGATGCCCAATTCAATCAAGAACAATGGTATTCCCTCCAATATTAACATCACGAAAAATGGTATGAGAAACGCACCTGAAATTGAGACCAGAGCAAGAAGAGAAAATAAAATGAAAAAGCCCGTCAAAATCGATTGATGTTGCGAAAAGAGCCATTTATACGTGCAAGAATCTCACGCTAAATGCTCATTCTATGTATGATTCTTGCCAACGGACACACACACAAATCCATTTGCTTAACGTTTTAATTTCTTTGTGTTCGTGCTTCATTTATGCAGCGATCAAACAAGTAATCTCGTTTCGTATCACTCGAGCTTATCCTATTTTCATTTGAAATCGACATTGAACTCGAGCACAATGAGTGTGATTCAATGTTCTCAACTGACGAGCCAAAGTAAGAGCAAGAGAGAAAGAGAATGAAATAGAGAATGCCAAAAGACAATGAAGCCTCAAGATAATGATAATATGATTTAATAATAGACTCAATATTGTTCACATTTCTGTACATTGTCTCCGCCCCATTGCCGAATAACAATCAGAACGATAAAAGCTACATGGACTACTATTCACACATAAAAAGAGACTTTTATTTTTCGAACCGTACCCGTTTTATCCATGTTTCTTCGCGGAAGACATAACATTAAACAGCAAAATAAACAAAAACACTCACTGCTACATTCGCGACCAATTAAAGCGATTTGGCCGAAAAACTATTCACATTGATCATTTCATTTTGGTTGATTAATTGGAGCTATAAATACAAAGTGTCATCGATTATAATTTTGTGATGTTTCATTTCGAACATTTCACTCTTCGGTGTCTTTCCAAACGAAACCATGGATGATGAAGCATGGCACAGCAACATTTTCATATTTAACGATTTTATGTTGCGAACCAGTGTTCCGCTTAACCGCTTTAATGACAGGCCGAAGAGCTGTAAATGAGTTATGTGTAAATATTTGAACGATTCGGTGTAAACATTTTTGGATTGAATGGGACGAGGGGGCGAGAAACTCAATATTATTTACTCATAAATCGTAATTCGTCTTCAATTCGGCGTGTCCCAAAACTTTGGATAAAGTAATCAACGGAACAGAACCGAATGCAGGTAAAACATACACACGAATTGATGACGATACCACATAATGTTCAATCGAATTGAACAAGATCAAATACAGATAGAGAGAGAGAGAGAGAGAGAGAGAGAGAGAGCTCAATTCAACATCAACAGACATGCTCTTGAACTTTTCACATTTATCTTTGTTAATTTAAGTAGTCAGCTTGACCAGAATACTGGATTTCATTTGCTAGCACATGCAAGCACATTAATTCACCATAAAGTAACGAGAGATCCGAAATAGAGCAAGCAAGCGACCGAACCACAGGATATGAAGAGAGAACGAAGCTGTTTCAATCGTAAAGTGGAAAAAAGGAGTAAATTCATCTCGTTAGACGAAATCGACTTAGAGTATTACATGGCGCAGACAGGTCAATTTCGGACGATACCTACGATGTTAGAAATTTAATGCGCAGAAGAAGAAGAAGAAGAAGAAGAAGACGAGGAAAACATTGATATTTTGCTGGGAAAACGCAATTTGTCTGCCATCCGTGTTGGAACACATTTATATGTCAGCACTGCGTATGCTGTAACATTCAGGCAATCTCATTTTGTTTATGATCAATGAATAACGTTTATTTTTTTTTATTCCATCCGCAAATACTCATAATGATAGCTTATGCTTCTTCTTTTTACCTGTTTATGCAACCATTTCTTTTATTCACTCTCTCTCTCTCTCTCTTTCTCTCTTGCTCTCTCTTTCTCTCCATCTCACTCTTGCCTTTTCCTTTATAGACCATTTCATTCGAAGTGGGAGGATAAGTTGAACTTGACATTGAACATGAAAACGATGATGTGCCCACTAAACCAATGCGAAATGGATAAATAACAAATTGCGATAATTTCAAGTAGCTTGCCAAAGAGCACCCAAAATATAATGATTCTTTCAAATTATTTGGCGTTTTTTTTATTTCTTTTCTTCTTCATCCTTTTTGTATATTTACGAAAATTAAATTGTAATTGTTGAACAACCATCAACGCTTTTTTTGGGGGGCACTTTTCTTTTTCATCGTCATTTCTTGATAAGTAGCCAATTTAAATTCGCATCGAAAAATCATTTTTTTCACATTTCGATTGAAAAATGATCTTGAAATGTATGCAAATATGAAAATATGCTCTTTGCCCCGTTCAATGTCAAAAACGTTGCGAATGGCCTCAATTGCATTATAATTGCGAAAACATTGCACACGCATTGAAATAGATAATGGATAGCAAAATGATTGAAATATGTTTTGCATGAACGAAGAAGCAAAAACCGAGCGAACAGAAAACAGATTTTGCATTTGCAGTATCAAGGAGACGTTCTATTTGCAAGCGTAGTTCTTTTTTTGCGATTTAAAAGAGTAATGAGTATGGAATTTTTCTCGTATTTTCTGTTTTTAAATGCATCGCTAAATGCTGTTAAAGGTCTGCAAATATTGTTTAAGGTCAGCAGCCAACCATAATCATCTCTTTTAATGTTTGTACGCGATTTTTTTCCCCTATGGATTCACATCGTTTGAGCGATATGATTTAATTGTGGTGAATGCCATGACAACGTACCGATTGTTATTGTTGTTCACTTTCTTCAATTATTTTCATTTATATTGCTCGTTTTTTTTTTGACCGTACAAATAAAGGATTAAATGAAAAGAATGTACATGCTTTTATTTTTACTGGAATAACACGCAATGTTATGCATGAAAATGAAATGCTGTCTGTTAGTGAGTGAGTTTGTAGCTTTTTGACATGCTCTTGTTGGAAGAGAAAAATAAAACGTTTGTTTTACGTTGATGGAATTTGATTGTTCTCCGGGAAAAATCGAAAAATGTTTCCCTCAAAATCAGAACAATTTGTCCTCATTAGGAGCAAGGTTATCGACGTTTCACAGCCATGGAATGTGTGCCGATTTTTCCGACATTTAAATCAATTTCCTCTGTTTCCCCTTCGAATTCGAACGAACGTTAATGTTGTTAGTGTGTCAGTTACGATAGAGATGCTTGCCGCATGCTGTCGTCTCGTTCGTTTGTTCCATTTTTTTTTCTTTTCCTAGCTGGGTCTGAAATTCAATTTGATGAAAAGAAAAGAATTCAAACTTACCGCCGCCGTTTTGTTGACACAGGTACGGAAATCGCCAAATATTCCCTAGGCCAACCGAATAACCAATGATACTGAGGAAAAATTGCATTTTTCCAGACCATGCAGCCCGATCATCGTCACCACCGCCACCATTTCGTCCGCATGCCGAACCATTATTTGACGCAATTGAATTCCGTTGTGATGCTGATAAAACGATTGTAACACCGTGTGTACCATCGCCACGTGCACGTGTATTTAGCGGTGCCATTTCATGACCATTCCGTGGGCCATTTATCGATTCCAATTTTGCCGTCATACTTTTGCCCAATGGAACAACGAAAATGTATCAATTGCGGTCCGAATGTCGGATCGATGTTTTTGTCTCCCAGTTTTACCGTCGAAACGAAACAACAACAACAATTGAAGAAAAACAACAACAAAATGGCTGGAAAGATGATCCGATTCGGTTTCTCAGGCTACAGACGGGGATAGAAAAAAAAAACGTATTCAATTAGTTCAGATTCATTAAGTAAAGTTCAGCAAAAAAAAGTTTTTAGCAAATCCAAAACGAACTATCCATGAAAATGACGATTTGCTTATAAATAAACGCCAATTTATTCATAAAAGTACACACATAGTTTCGGTTTTTCACACATACACACACGCAGCACATACAACGAGTTTCAATTCATGAACAATTATGGAAAACCATAAATTAAGCCCAAGTTTTTGGCTACCATCACTTTATCCTTCATCGTGTTTCGTTCAATGAAATTCCCTTCATCCAGTTTACACACACATACATCGCATTCTTACACCGTGAACACAAAACCGAAGGCAAATTCTGTGCACGTATTCGGTTTTTGCTTGAATTGTTGTCATCTTATATCATAGCATTTGGTTTTATTCTTTTCTGATGATGATTCTTCTACTATACCAAAGCCGAAAAATTTGTATACAATTTCGATCCCTTTTTCATCCATAATTTTTGTATCGATTTTTATCGGCGTATTCAAATCACGATGAACCATAATGAAAGCTAATCAGCAAATTAAAGTAACAGTAACCAAACGGAATTGATCTCGTTGTATTGAAAGTAATGGTTAACACGATTGGTTCCAATCACCATCCATCACGAGGGGAAAATCACTCAAAAAATTACTTTTTTCTTACAAAAAATTACAAATGACATTTTTTATCAAGACAAATATTTTATTGGAAGGCAATTTTTGGGAAAAGTAATTTTCGATCATTTTTTAAGTAACTTGTGGTCGAAAAATTACTTTTTGTTCAACAAATTACTTGTTAATTAGGATTGATTTCCTCCTCGATCCATCATCAAAGTATATTATGTCGCGCATTGGGCAATGAGCCACATAATGAAATTCGCATTCACTTCAATGTGTAAATTAATTAATATTCACTTGATGTAACTGGCAAACACACATACACTTATGATGAAGCGACTCTGAATCTTCGATATGCGAGAATTCAAATGTCCGAAAGAAAAGTGAAACGAAAACTAATGGAATGGCATTTGGAATATATATGTACCTCCAACTCACTCACTCCACACACTCAATCTGTCAATATGAATACAAAATGTTGCATCTGATTGCAAGATTTCATGGAAAATTTATTTATTAAATGCTAATAAGCAAAAGCGATGACACTTGAAATTGAACGAATGTTGTGTTCGCATGTGTTTATCTTTTCATGTTATTGTTTTTGCTATCGGAAATTGATGGAGCAGTGTTTTGCGGTGAAATTCATCTCGTCGGAAATTCCTGAGCGATATGTAATAGACTGAAATGTTTTATTTTAAAACCACGCTATCACGCTCATCTTTTAAACCTTGACCTTTAACGGTTCGATATTCGTTTTGCAATAAAAAAAAAATCTTCGAATAACAAATATACCGTGTCTTTATTCAACAAATAATTGATTGTGAACAAAATTTAGTATCGAAAATGTGAGAGACAAAGTGTGAGTTTCTTTCTCGTAATGGTTTTTTTGAATGGACCGAAATCAATTACTGCTTTGTTTGCCAATCGAACAAGGGAGCAAAAGATGAAGGTTAATATTACGGAACGAAAGGTTTTGATCTAATGGCGTAAAATTTAGGGGGAATTTTTCGTTTCATTGATTAAAATGCGACAACAACTGTCGCATCACTTTCATAGCGAAGAAAGACACGTTTACATTGAATGATGCCGAAGAAAAGTAAAACGCAATAAACAATTTGTCATATTTTTTGGTTTCATTTGTGACAGCAGCAACAGCATCAGCATCAGCATAAACATATATGTGTGTATGTGTGTGTGTTTGCGAGCACCAAAAAAAAGTGCGTCGTTAAACCGATTGACGTGTCGTGTTTATGGAGAAAAAGATTCAAGTTAAACATCGTAAAATATCTGTGTGTCGCGCGTACACACACACACACGTACGTGTTAACGCTGTGATTATCAAGGATTTGTCGGAAATCTCACTGCGCTCATACATTTGAATTTAAAATGAACGAATTAAAGATGACGACTGAATGATTTTGTGATTATCTTCTACGTTTCACTTCTGTTACTGCTTCTTCGCCTCCTTTCACATTGCACACGTAAATGGCTTTTGTATTTTCAAACTGACACTAAATGAACTGTCGTTGGTAAATGAGAATGTAGCATAAATAGTTGTCACACTAGCTCACACCACCGGAACACATGCCAGTTGCTAATCTAAATTGGTTTGCTAACGGACGTTCAATTCACTAACGCCAGCATATCGACTGAAAATATCGCGCGAAACACACGGGGATTCGAACACGGTGAGTCAATACCAATACACTGCACTTCTCTCAGTTCGCTTGGCTGCTGTTTTTTTTTGCTTGCTTGCTGGACATGAGGTGAAAAATGCACGTGCAGAAAAGAAGGAACATTTCAATGTGTACGCGCGCAAGACTAGGTGAACAGACGACGAGGCCGACATTGAGAATGGCGTAAATATCGCTCGCGCGCGAAATTGATGGGTGAACGAGAGAGAGAGAGAGAGAGAAATGGAGGAAAGAAAGAGAAGTGATATCGGCGAAAAGGGGAACGTTTCGCATACAACACGCTCAAAATCTGTGTTCATGTTATTTTTTTTGTTGTTGCAAAAATCACTTTCATTTAATGCACACACCGTAACCAGACACCATGTGTTCCTGTGTTTGGTTCATTGTTACGTTAATAGAGAGGCGAATGGAAATGGAAATTAGGAATTGCAGAAGGGGGAGAAACGAAACGAACACACAAAGCCGAAGAAGGAGAAGAAAAAATCGCAAGGGAAAGACACGCGGTGCAATTCCATTAAGGTAAACAAATCAAATTCCCTGTTTATTTTCCGTATAGATCGAAACGATGATAAACCACATATACATAATATAGTAAATATGTATAGAGTGTGTTTCATATTTTTAACCGTCAATTAACAATCAACCATGTTCAATTTAGATGTGCTTGGACGATGTACGAACAAAAATAGTGATCGCTTTTATGTCGACGGCGGCTCGACGACGCACACAAATTGGAAACAAAACGAAAATGAAATTACTGATATGAAACGAAAAAGTTAATAAATGTCTATTAAAAATCTGTCGGTGGCATGCTATTGTCCAGGGTGCACATGTTTTGGTATGGTTGTTGTTGCAGGGGTGAAACGAAGAACGTCCTAAAAAACCCAAAAATCGTCCTATAAATTACGAAAATCATCCTAAATATCACAAAAATCGTCCTGACAAAATAACAAAATCGACCTAAAAGACCTTGTTGAAATCATTTTCTGATAAAACTAACAAAAATGTTTCTTATTTTGATGCTGTAGAATTGAAGAAAGAAATGATTAAAGCGTGACTCAACAGAGAACTGTGGAATAGACGAAATGAACGGGAATTCCTTAGATTGTAAAAACGACAGCATCAAATGTAATCAGCGATATTTTGTAACATAAAATTGAGCATTACGAATAGATGTAGCCGAATGTTTCTTTTTTGACGAAATATGATGAATATGAGACGCACGTAAGCAAGTATCACACGATAATATCACCATATCCGCCTCATGCGATATAGAAAATATGCGTTTTGGACACATTGAACAATTTTGTGAGTAATTGTATGTTTAATTATATATTTCAATGGCAATGAGACAACTCAGTAAAATATACTGTAACAAACACAATCTTTTTTTAGGATGTTTTTTGGGTTTTCGAGGACATTTTTAGGTTTTTTAAAGATTTTTTTTTGTACTATTTTTCGGACGAAATTAGGGTCTTTTAGGTCGATTTTTGTAGTTTTTTAGGACGATTTTTGTATTTTGTCAGGACGATTTTTTTGATATTTAGGATGATTTTCATAAATTATAGGACGATTTTTGGGTTTTTTAGGACGTTTTTCGTTTCACACGTTGTTGTAGTACCAAAACAGTCTAATAAGATAATATGGCCCGAACCTAATTAATTAGCATGGAAGTGAATTCCCCACACGTTGTGCACGGTTCGCGGTAAAAAAAATGGCGTTGATAGTGAAAATGCATAAAGTAAATTGTAAGCGAAATTCAACGAAACGAACGGTATTCGTAGCATGGTGCTAATCGATATGAAATTCGAAGAAAGACCATTGCAAACTTTATCATAAAAATTAAAGGGCTAGCATATCCGCTAGGTATCGTTTTAGTCGGTTGATATTGAACCAAAGAAAAAAGTTCTCAGTGCTTTCAGCGCTTCAAACGAAACCGTTATGAATCTGACTTTTTTCAAAACAAAATAATCCAAAAATATTTTATAATAAAAAAAAATGTAGAAAAAAGTTGTAAATTCAATTTTTCAACACACAGTTTATAAAAAATGTTTTATTTGCACCAACAAAACTTAGGAAAACTACAATTATTTCACTGCAAACGATTCCCACTTGAAATTTGAAACAACAACACACTTTTCACTTGTTAATATGGTGAATGGGTGTTGTAACGGATTTTCGTTAGATGTCGCTGTTAGTTTTGAAGTTTCAACTTTCAAATGGGAATCGTTTGCAGTAGAATAATTGTTGTTTTTCTAAGTTTTATTGATGCAAATAAAATATTTTTTATAAACTGTGTGTTGAAAAATTGAATTTACAATTTCATTTTACCTTTTTCTTATTCGAAGATGTTTTTTTATTTAAAAAAAAAAAGCCAAATTCATAACGGATTTGTTTGCGGCGATGGTAGCGATCCAAGCGGCATATGAACGCTACTAAAGCGGCCTTTTAAATTTTATGACAAATTTCATAGTTTATATTGCGAATGTATTTCTTCCGTTTTCTCTCTTTGTACGTGCGGTGCTGTTTTTTTTTTCCTTGTACAATGTGGAAAAGTGCGCGTTGATATTTTTATATATGTTACCGACGTATTTTTTTTTCAATGTCAACCATATACAAGGTGGCGCTAGCCCAAATGTAATTTGCACTTTTTTCTACTCTCTTTCTACTTTTATCCTTCTGAAAATACTTTTTTTGTGTGAACACAAAAAAAAACAGATCGATGGCTTATTCGGATTGTGTTGTGACCACCATAAAATCGAGTCATTGTGGGACGAAAAAGATATACAACACAACCACCACCCTCAACATATGAAAATAAAAATGGCTCAACTAAATTTAGATTGTAATGCGAGACAAAGTAGTAGATGATATTAAACTTTTGTTCAATTTTTTTGTTTGTACATTGTTTCGCCGTTGTTACTTGCCGTCGATTTTGAATGAATGAACAGGACAGACATAGTGGCCACGAACAACAATTGTGTTTGCTTGGTTTATTTTAAAATTCGAGTCAATCGATTGTATAATCGGTGCACAAACACGATATACGATGGGGTATTGAAAATTACACCGAAATATTCGGTTCCATTGAACCAAAATGAGCTCTGATATTTATGAGCGCCCACTCTGAAGGCGGCATAATATGCATTTGTTTATCGATTTTATTAAATCGCAACCCGTACTCAATCAATTTATGAATAGGCTGGTTCCGCCGTATCGGCCCATTACAAAAACCACATATCAACAAAGAGAGTGTGTGTGAGAGAGAGAGCAAGAGAGAGAGAGAGAGAGAGAGAGAGAGAGAGAGAGAAAGAGAGAGAGAGAGAGAGAGAGAGAGAGAGAGACTGAGAAAGAGTGTATCAATGGGTTTCATTGTTTATCTAGCAATTTCCCACCTGCCTGACATTTACAATTCAGTATATCATAAAAGCTGGATACGTGTTTATCGTGGATAAAATATCACACGCCTACGCAAAATGCTCCCAAATGATTCCATCAAAAAGGGATTTTCATGGCATTAACTGACCAAATCAATACCAATAAGTTATGTGTCGGACGTGCTTCTGATCATATACTCGATATCAATTTTTCATTCAATCTTTTTCTCTGTCTTTGTGTTCTTTTGCGTTTGTATCATCCTTCCAACCAAATTGGCCAGAATGGATGCGTTTATAATTGAATCTCTAATGGCCGCAATTAATTTAATGCTTTGAAGAAGCGCGTTCGCGAAATCATTAGCCCTCAAAATTTATGAATCGAAAGCATTCGCATGAACAAAATATCGCGGATAGTCTTTCCTTGACTTTTCTTCATGGCTTGTAAAATACAACCATCAACAAACGGAAAATTGGTTAATTTATGACCAAATCAAAGAATGACACAGAACAAAAAATGATAAAGAATAGATCGAGACCAAGGCCATTATTGCTATATGTCAAGTGAGGGTGGGCAAACGATGAAAATAAAGCGAAGAACATGGACTTCCGAAAAACGAAGTGAAACTTGTGCCAAACAACGTCACCCGCACCCGAGCCACACAGCATTCTTTGCTCGCAGCAAAAATGTGGAAAATCAAAAACATGATAACGTTTTGCGCGCGCGAATGGTCTTTCTCTCTCCCTTTCTATGTGTCTGTGCGTCTGTTTGTGTTTGTGTATGTGAGGTGGGCACAAAGGTAACTGGCTCCAAATGCTTCATTTATCGCAGCTATGACAACGACCCAATCATTTGTAATCGTGTTTCAAAGTCAACGCTCATCCTCACCCTCACCCACGTCCTCTTTCAATCACCTTCTCTTTTTTCACTATTTGTTACAGAAAGAAATAAAACAAGGGAAAAAAATCCAATGGAAATTTCATAGACTCTTGATTCTTGCGCGTTCTCCGAGAATAAAAACAAATTAAAGGAAAATGGTGCCAAGCCACTTGAAACAAGCTTATCCACTTTATTGTAATCGATTAATGTGATTTTAATTGTGCAATTATGAATGCTATTTACATGGGTTTCATTCAGGCGGTTTTAAAAACCTCGTGCTTTGGTTTGGCGTTGTAACGCGCTCACAACCCATAAAGATTCAAATCGATATGGGTTGTGATAGATCACGAAAATGAATGACAATAATACACTCAAAATAAATATTTGTACTATTTACGAAGCCATTCTAAGGTTTTGCATCATGTGAAAACCATTATACGATGTATTCGTACATTCTACGAAAATATTCTCACGAATTTGTATTGTGATTTTGCATCGCACTTTACAACGAATCACTTTCAGTGTATAGTAGCTCTGAACGAACGCAAACATCAGCTGCATGGTGATGATGTGATTCAATGGTACACACATTAAAACTCAAAATAACAAAACAAAGCCATGCATATGGGGAAAAATCATCGCAAGAAAGAGAGAGAGAGAGAGAGAGAGAGAGAGACCATACACACGGTTTACTTAGTGATAATTATCCACATATGATTTGTTTTCTCACTTTCCAGTCTTATGTGTGCAATATGCAAAATATTATTGATAAATTGTCCAATTTATTTGTAATGTTTGTTAAAGCTTCCAAATTTATTGAATATCTGTCAGGTGAAGTGCCTTTATCGAGAATGTAAGTTCTTTCACGGTGTGAAAAAAACCACTACGAAATTTCGTTATATAATTTATTGCGTTCTGTGCAAAGTAATCGATGGCCTGAACTGAATTTGATGTGTACACAAAAATTCATATGTATGTAGTTCGAGGGCGAGAGAGACTGAAATGCGATGATAGTCGTGTTGTTGTTGTTGAAAGGCGAATATATTGAATAAGATGTGTGTTTTTTGTGGATGAATATCAATATATGCGCATAGAGTGTCCGTTGCCAAAACTGGCATTCTTCGAGCTTCAATTGATTTATCACTTAGAAGCGTGAACATTTTAAAATTCGATAGACGCAGATGACACATAGAAAAATCTCAACTTTCATTTTTCATTGTCTCGATTTAGTTTCGATCTCATTTTTTAGCTCTCACGCGATTTAGCTTTGCTTTACACTCGAATTTTACGAAAGTCGTGACAATTTCATTTTGTTACAATTTTCAAATGTTTCCGATGTGATGTTGATTTGAATCTTGGTGGAGCGAATTGGATTAGATCGTTTCAGAAAAACCATTTTATTTCGCATAAATATTTCCGTTTTGCCGAAGTTTCAAAAAACCTCCCAACGTCAAATCCGTTGCGACGTCATAAATGTGTAAACCAATATAACTACCACAACATCAACCGACTCGACATATCTATTTCGTTCGCTCTCACGACTCACTCTGTTCACAACGCACGGCCCACACATGAAGCACGGAAAAATGGATGGAAAATTTCCACCACAAGATTTGTTCAAAGACGCAACGAAAAATACACGAATTTTCGGGATTCGATAGTTGTGCCTTTCTGTAACGGACCAATCGGCCCATACTCTTAGTTGAAGTCTTCTTCTGCTACTCCTGCCGCTGATGCTGCTGCTGCTGTCTAACACTATTGCTGTGAACGTGTATAGTCAGATACATGGGATAGGTGCACAGGAAAGGCATGTACGCTTACACCGCTCGCACATCATCATATTACAATGGTGGGGGGGTGGGGTGCGGGAAGAAAGCAGCTGAAGATTCAAATACTGATTGGAAAACATAATTGCAATCAAGTCAATAAGGGAACAAACAGCAGCAATGAACACAGTTCCAGTTAATCCAGTTGTGATTATTATGCACAGCAAAGCAGATGGATGTAAACAATATCGAAGCTTTTAACGCAACCCCATCAACTGACTAACTCATTCGAATCATGTGCACTTTCAATAATTCACCGAACACACTGACGATTTATTTTGAGGCGAAGATACCAAATCTCGTAATAATGATTAATGAACATTGTGAGGGCTGGAGGTTAAACTTATTTAAACTTGCATGCCGATTCATTCATCAGTATTTGCAGCGAGTCGGTGTTTGTGTTGCCCTTTGTTCGAAACGCGCCATAAAATTGTCGTGATTGCGTTGTGTTTAGGAATACGAATAGAAAAATCAGAAGCGAAACAACGAATGATATACAATTTGATGGTACACACATTCATTCCGATTCAAAACAAAATATATCAGAGTTATGTATTTTATTTGACGGATCATGAGCGCCTTCCATTCGCAATATTCTTCGGCTCGGTCAATGAGAAACCCCAACTTAGATTGCATTAACGAGACAGCACTTTTTATGGGGAGATGCTTATCATATGCACACACACACACACACACACATACACACAGAGAGGGAGAGAATTACACTTAATCAAAGCTTTTTTGCCTGAATGACCTGCAAATTCGATATTATATTGAGGATATCCACGATATTTCGATCGAATTTTTGTATTCGTTCCCGATTTATTGACTGCTCTATCGCATACACACACACACGCACTTACACACAAAATTTGCTACGAATAACTGAATGAATACTCACTTATAATATATTATCGATTTGTTTTGATTTTTCGCAGACGAAAGTTGGATGTATAACGCGTTTTTATGTATTTATATATCTCCGGTGAAAACTTGTATGCCCTCTATCTTTCTCGGTGAATTTTTCTTGCTGTTTCTCTTTTTTGGTTAAACAGCCGTGCAATCGATTTTGTTCCAAACAGAAATGTGAACCGTTTGGAGTCGAGTCGTATTCGGTTTGTTTGTTTTAACAAAAAAAAAACGTGATGATTATTTATTAAATCTTGAATTGTAATGCCAAGACATTCCTGCCGTGGTTCTTTTCTGCGAGAGGGGCAACAATTTTATGAAAAATTCACATCAAATCACGCACACTTACACTGTCAACTTTTTTTTTTTTTTTTACTTTTTTAAATACTTTTTTTTCCTTTTTAATAAACACTTTCGATGTCTGTCACACAATTAGTTTATGTTAGTTGTTGGTTTTTTGTTTCGGTTTGTTTGTTTGCTGTTGTTGCTGTTAGATTGATATTCTGTATTTTAATTTGGTGGCGCGGAGAATTATATAATAAAAACGACCGAAAACAATAGCTTTTTGTAAGGGACTGACTCAACTTAAATTTCACGAACATGTTTGAAGCTATAGAAATGTGCTGGCTATGCGAATTGAGATGTGTATTCGTATGCGATTGTATGTATATAGAGAAAAGATATGGAAGCACGATGGCGCACCATATATGGTTTAGATGTACATAAATGTATGTATATAGATGGAATCGAGTGAAAAATATGATATGTGGTGGTGTAACAAAGACGAAATGATGCCAATGAACGGTTATTGCGCATTTGGTATGAAAGAGAGGTCAGAGGGTTGAACAAAAGACAACGCACAACACCTCTGTCGATATGTGTGTATGTGCGCGCAACCAAGCAAATACCGAATACATCCAGAATTTGAAACACACAAACACATACACACTCGGGTGCACACACATTCACTCGGCATGGCATCGGTGAATGGTTTTTCCCATTTACGGGGCGCGTTTACAACACAGCAAATGGAAAATATTGACGAGATTTTCCACGTGCACCAGTCAAAAACATCCGTTCAAACTAACAATTGAAATGAATAGACACATTTTGGTTTCGGAGATCGCAAAGTATAATTTCATCGAAAAGTTTCTGCTTTTGATGGAGTTTACATCAAATTCAAAGAGTTTTTTTTTCGTAAATATTCAAAAAACATATTTTTGAATCAACTTCAAATTTATATCGGAAAATTTTTACTGTTATTCTGCTGAATTGGTTTTTGGACGAATGTAAACGCACCCATTCAATTGCTCCAAAATTTCATAACACAATTAAGGTGCCATGAATTTTGTATTGTAATGACTGAAATATTTATAAATTTTATGATTTCCAATTTGCAACGATGACATGAACTTTCGTCGAAATTCGCATGGGCCAATAGACAGAGAAATGCGTCGAAAATCACCGAACACCCTATTGTATGTATGGTTAGGTCGTCGCCGTCGCCATAAATGCTCAGTCCCATGCATTTACATTTGCAAATTATTCTACATTTTTGTTCGGTTAGGACGTAGCGAAAAGAACGGTCGTACGAAAGATACATCGATTTTAAGTTTAACAATTTTCTGCCGCACAACTTCAAATGGCACATCGGAATCGTTTTTTGCGGAAAATGGAAAATTTACAAACCAAATAAATTTAAACATGTCTTGCGAAAATCCTTGTGGAAAATTTCCATTCTATCCTACCTAATGTACTTTTCACGACTCGTTCCGTAATGAATGCACCGTTGTCTACACCGTTTCGGCATTGTAACTCCTTGGTGTGTATGCTTGGCACAAAAGTGTAAAGACGCAAATAGTTTGATACAGTTCAGATGAACGCGGAGATCAATGGTGGCTGCTGGTTTTACAATTTGGTGCAAACGAGACAGAAGAAGCAACACACAACTTGGGGTTGCGCATATAAGCTATGGACTACATCACGGCAGGAATGAGAGAAAAGAGAGATGGAAAAAAGTATGAACACACACGTATCTGGAATAGAGTCGGCATATCGGCGTTTTTTTTTCTTTCGTTCACATTGTGCATGATGATGAAATTGAAAAATGTTTGGACGTCATACCAAGTGGTTTTATAATGTTGTCAGCATCGACGACTTTCAGTATCGTTCAGTTGTTTATGGAGCAGCATGTGCCTTCATATATGAAGAAGTGTATACACACACGTGCTACAAATGTATATCCCGTGTGAAATTTTTTTTGACTGACTAGTCAGTCGATTAGTTTGGGACATTTTGACTGACTAAATGTGATTGTCTCGAACAAAATAAGCAACTGCAGTTAACTTTTATCACAAATCACTCTTAGTCAAAATGTCCCAAATTAGTCGACTGACTGAAAGAATAACTAAACGTGATTGTCTTCATATAAAACGCATGATTTCAATCAACTTTGCCAGTTTTAGTTGTGTATCACTACATACAGTTACATACAACTGAGTGACTGTTAGTCATTTTATTTGCACACGGGTATTCATAACCATGACGAAGGAAAAGAAGAATGAAGACGTGAAAGAGCAAACAAGTCGAGGATGTAGAAGACGAATCGAAGAAGGAAAATCCACACAGACACACTCACACAGAGAGGGGGAGACATTCAAAAGTAACAGCCATGAAACGAAATAGGTGAAAAAAAAGAATCGAAATTTCGCTGTCGATTCATGGTAAAAATTTATATTGCCATGAAAACTAGGTTCCATGCATGCTTTCGCGTGAAAATGTGTAGCCCACATTGTCGTCGTTAGTGTTATTGTTGTTGTCATTTGGATAAGGATTACTGCAAACGTACACAATTCAAATTGAATTTCGTGCACTGCTCAAAAATGAATGAAATGAGCTTTTTCGTTTGTGTTTTTGCTCAATTCGGTGGTCGACGTCAGCGCGATTTCAAGCCGAATTATCTCCAGTTTCAATGACATTGCTCGACGTTCGCTCTCTTGAAGACTAAATCCGAAGTGAAGATGCGCCACTATAGCACCTCTTATCAATCCAAGACAAGAAGCCAGTGAGCGAGTGAGCGAGAGAGAAAGAGAGAGAGAGAGAGAGAGAGAGAGAGAAAGAGACCGAGAGATCGGTGCAAATGTGCGCCGATAATCTTTCGGTGTTTCTTTTCTCTTTTTTTTCTACATGAAAAATTTATCCATTTTTCCCATTCATGTGCACACCATAAAAGTACACTTGAACGAAAAGCAGAGCATATCATCAGTGCCTATTAAGCAGTATTACAAATTATCGCGTGTGTGCTACGTAAAACGCTTTGCACCACCGTCACCATTTATTCGCCATGAATTCGACCAAAAAACACACATATCGAATCGTGACCTTGGGAAAGAACAGGAATAATTATGTGATAGCCTCAGTTCAAATGGTGGATGAGCGTTTTTGATTTGCGCAAAATCCCGCCCCATTTTTCCGTTCTCCCTCGCAGTCGAATAAACACACAGTCTCGGCGGATAATCCAAACATCTTGTTAAACATACCGTATGATAATGGTGCTACGGCTCTTTTTCGTAAGTAGTAAATGTTTAATGGACGTTTGCTCTTGGACTGTCACATGTGCTTTCTGTCGGTCTGTGCCGACAACAAAAATGTACAATGTTTTCACAACGAGAGAGAGAGAGAGAGAGAGAGAGAGATATCATGTCGAACGACACGATTACCCGCTGGAATGGCTTCTCAATGTTATGCACATGGAATGCCATCCCGAATAGAGATGCGAGAATGCGATTACTTTTCCATTTCACTTTTTTCGGGGAGGTATTTTTTTTTATTGTTGACCATAAATAACAAAGTCTTTCATAAAAATGTCGCACTTCTGCTCACACACTTTTCTTCAGAGCGAGAAAAAATAGACAAAGAGATAGAGAGAGAGACCGAATTTGAACTTGGATGAATGGAATTTCATGTGCGAATATTTAATGCTGTGTCGCTCACTGTTACACCGTTTTCAGCATCCATATGAATCGTTAGCATGAAACCAACGCAAACCCATCGATGATACAGATTACATTCGATTGAAGTGATATATAGCAGAATACAGTGCATTGCCGGTTGCCTTGTTAAATTTTCCAGTTTTTCTACGGTATGAATAAATAAACAAGGCACAAACTGATTGTGATGCATCCGGCCGAATAAAAGCTCCAAAACAAACGTAACTGGACGCTACTAACTGGAGCGTGCTATACATGCACGCACACACATAAAACGATGCAACCGATTCCAATTCACTTCCACATATTTTCACTCTTTTGATGTTCGCGCTTGAATTGTCAAAGGCAGTAGTGCACATTTCAAAATGCATTATTTCGAATTGGCATTTTCAAACGATTCGCAGTTTCCTTGATACATGAACACTTTGTAGAAAAGCGTATACATGAAATAGAGTTTGAATGAGTGTCAGCTAACATGTCTATTTGATTCTCGGTCTATTGTTTCATTATTTTAATGAGTTTTTTTTTGTTGCTAAAACGAACGAGAGAAAACGAAGAGTAACGATTTTGGCAATCGTAATACAGTCGTTTAGAAAATGGTCAACACATTTTGAAAATTCTTGGAGAATGTCAGTTGGTGCTATTGTACTTAAAACACATACACACACGCGGCAGGATACTATCGGAACATGACCCAAAAAAACCGTTCTGCTTTAGAAAATATACAAAAAAACAATTGAAATGAAAAACTGTGTTTTCAATGGATTACTTAATGATTTCAGCGGGTATCGTACCTAAAATTACAAGAACAAAGGAAAGTAATTTTTGACGAAAACTCTCTTTGTTTGCATGCCGTTTGGTTCACCACAGGACTAAAATTCACATTGACTTACACAAATTCAAATTATAATTCATCTTTCGTCTGAACGTATGGCGATTCCATCAAAATTCAAAAGTTCCACTCAATTCAACAGACTCAATTGCTCAAATTTGGCAACTCAACAAAAATGAGCCAGTCAGTCAGTAGTGACCAAATTCAAATAAAACCAACGAACAGATTGGCCACAACCAAGATTTTTTTTTTTTTTAATTTTTAATATGTTGAGAACCATTTTCCAACAATTTTTAAATTCGACCAATTTCATATCACATTATTATTAATGAATATGTTTTTCATCGCATATTATGTTGGTGTATTTTTTCACCAAAAAAAAAATTGTTCAATTGAAATGGTTTGTATGTTTTCTGCAGTTCAAATGCAATTTATTTGCTGCAAACCACACATCATACAATCAGAATACTATTATGACAGTGATACATTAGGAAGCTATGTCAATATGAATTCATGATTCAATGTTTTTGTTTAGTATTTGCTATGTCCACATCAATGCATGATGTGAACGAGAAAAACAAAATGCATATGATAGTATTTGTGCCGAATGATTCATCACTAAAATGAAATGATTGGGTGTTTTGTATGCATCGTTTTTTGAGTATAGTGTCAACAGTTTTTGCACGCAGCGCATATTTGTGTTGTTATCTCAATAGCAATGAACAATAATACCATTTCGAAAATTGGTAATATTGAAATGGGATTAGAAAGAATATGCGCCGAGTTTTATTACCACAGCTGAGTGGTTTGTTTACATTAAAATGGAAAACCAAAATTTCACATTAAAATTCGACGCTAACCTGTTCGTTCACGCTAATGGAATAGTAAATGTCATTTAAAAAAAAGTAGAATGCTGAAATATCAACAAAATTTAATTGAATGCTTTTAATTTGGTTTACGTAGGTTTCGTTCGGTTCTCTGCTGTGTGTGTTTTTTTCTCTTTTTTTGCTTCTTTTTCATTGTAGATAACGGAGCAGACGCATACGCGGCAAGAATGTATGACGAAGCCCCTGTAGAATTCTTACAAACATTAAATCTAATTATTTATAAAAGCGATTTTATGGCTCCATACTCTATATCGGTTATATATGTTTTTAGGTATATTGGATGACAAACTGCCAAATGTAGATATTGACCGTCAAGATGAATTGTTCTTATGAAGTGCTTTATTTCCAATAAAATACATAAACCACTTGAAATTTAATGATTTTTCTTCGTTCGGACGATCCTTTAAATTGAACACCAAATTGAAATTTCAAATGATTTTTCTCTGTCTCGTAGTAAGAAGAATGACTTACTTCGAGTCATGGAGAAATTCCGGAAACATAAAATTAGCACCAAATTCATAAATGAGCTACAGTTAATCCAAAATTGGATTTATTCATTACCACTTATTGGCTTTGGTTGCCATCTTTTCGCTAACTGAAATAAATTGGCGCCCAAGTCAAGGGACTCAACGAATACTGCACAGCAACACTTCAGACAATTGGCTGATAATACTTTCGAGTAATTTCGCTATATGCTATTATAAGTTATTCCGTTTTTTTCCTCATTTTTCTTTTTTTCGGGTATTTTTTTTGTTCTTGGGGCAAAGTTGAAAACACAAAAGATGAGAGAGAAAACAAACCGAGTGGAACGTATACAACTCAAAGACGTAAAGATACGTATGTTTAAAAACGAGACAAGAGTCGACTTTTGAGCACTTCAAAATGCTAACTACTTCATATTTAATGAGATGCCTACTTTTTTACACACGCACACATATACTTTGTTCGTATCCGACTTGAAGTCGACAAAAGAGTAAAATAAAAACCCAAGTCCATATGGTACTGAGTGTTTTGTTTCCAATTGTTTGGTGTTTACGTTCCATTGTATCCGTGTAGTTCCCCGTCGTGGTTCTCTGGTCGCTATTGTTGCGTTGAATGAAGAGATGCGAACCAGGACAATATTTAAATGGAATTGTTTAAAAGAAAATGGATTAACAAGGACATACGTGTGCAAATATATAAGATCGTTAGAGTTTTGCGAAGATTGCTTAGCGCCTAGTGCGTTACAACAGCGGGTCACGCAGAACAACGAATAAACAAACGAATGCAAAAGGACACGTAACAGACGGAGAAAGCAAACGTTGTTAACACACTAAAGGGAGAAAATAACAATGCCGTATTGTGCTTGTGGATCGGTAATAAATTGAAATGAATATGTATCTCGTTTTTTCTTTTCGCTCGCTATATGTACGGAAAATTTGGTGACCTTGAAGTTGACAGACCAGTCTCTATTGTTGCCGAAAATCTATTCATGTCATTTTTTTTTATTTGCAAAACGTATATTTGCTACGGGAGAGCAAGAGAAAAAAATAGATCTTTTATTTGCTGTGAACGTGGCGAATTTTTTTTTAACAAAAAAATTTACTGATCAAATTTAATTGTGAATTTGTTGTATCCAAGGGGACTTCTTATTTACCAAATTCATTACATTTACATTGTCATTACTTTCATTTCGTTTACATTGATTTTCAATATTTGGTCATTTCGTTTCATTAATTCTTATAATTTTCATTTTTTTCCTGTGATTTTCCCCTAAGTAGGCAGTATCACACTGCCGATGGTCAGAGCCTTTCCGAGCGGGGGTGCAGGGGGTGTAGCGCACTGGGGCGCAAGGTGAAAAAGGGCGCGAGAGCGCTGAAGGCGCTCGAGCATTTTAAAGAAATATATCGAAAGAAAAAGGAGTGCGATTTGAAAAAATATAACGAAATTTTTTGATATCGAAAGAATTATAGTTTACAAATTCACAAGAACTATGCCGATCTCAAAAGCATAAACATAATGAGCGAAGAGTCTGGTACCGAAGAGAGGAAAACTTGGTACCGAATGCAGTGATTGCCTATCGTATTTTGCTAACGACGCCCGTTTCAGTGGGAACCGGTGAACGAACCTTCTCCAAACTAAAACTCATCAAAAATTATCTGCGCAACTCAATGCACCAAAACAGACTCAACAATCTAGTCATCATCTCGATCGAGCATGAAACCGCAAATTCAATTGAATACGAAGAAATTATCGATGAATTTGCTTCAGCCAAAGCACGAAAACAAAGTTTTAAGTAATTATCTTTGATTATAAAAAGTGTTTTTATGAAATAAATGTACCTATTATTTTGGAAAGTATACACAATACAGAAATTCGTTATTTTTTTCATTTTTCTTTAAATTCCAAAAGTGGGGGCGCACGAGAAACCTTGCACCGGGGCGCAATGGGCGCTCGGAAAGGCTCTGCCGATGGTGTATACAAATTTTAATCCAATAAATTTGGTTCATTTGGGGCTTTAGCAAAAACACGGCAACACGCATCCACGATTTAACAGCATAACAACCAAAGTGCTAAACAGCATCCAATGTTAGAATGCTTCCATTTCTTCGACAGTTTTTCTTCTTCTTTTCTTCTTTCCGCTTTCTTAGAATTTCTGCCCAACTCGTATCGTACGTCAGAATTTCTTTTACATTTGAGAGCCACCAAAAATCGATAGAAAAATTTAATTTATGCAGGTATTCTAATGAAGCTCCAATAAATATGTTCCCAATTTTTATTTCTACTCGTAATTTCTATTGTTTTATGGTCAAATGAGTCTTTTTTTGACTCTATACACTTTATACGAACAGTTCGAATGTTTATTGAAACTGATTTTTTAGACGATTTTTGAAAGTCAAAGTACTATATAATTGCGAGGATGGTCAAATATTTGATTGCACTCCGTTCGAATATTCAGTTGGTGCTCACAACATTACTTACCGTACCCAGCAAACAGTTTTAGTTTGTGTGAATATATTAAAAACATATGCATGCACACAATCTCTCCATCACAAAATGCCACTTAACAGCTCAATGTCGATAAGCTGTGATAAAACTGCTTTTTTTAACAAGAGCCTCAAGTCTCATAGCTTCCGGCCATCCATATTTCCATAAAATCAGCCACCGTGTATGAAACTGCATCTGATGTTGGCCAACTATTATACGCTCAAAGCGAATGAGCGTATAACTAATAAATCCCATGAGCATACGCATATTTATAAGCTACTTGATTTTCCTCATTATTCATATATCCCTTCTCTAATATGTGACCCAAATCACTCTTCATCTCTTGTTTCTTTGGCACATAAAATTTATTTTCTCTTTGAAAAAAGCAAAAATTCAGCGGTATTTTCTTCAAGCGACGTAGTAGTTTTCTTGTTTGGATTTTTTTTCTTTTTATTTACCAAATGTTGTTGTGATGCTGATCCCAGATCTGTGCTAAATTGAAAATTCATTAAATGTCATGAGGTTGAAGGTTTATTCTATCAAAATGTAAAATTCCCAATTGAAATGTCTTAATGGCTATGCTTAACAACATTTTAAAGTAAGAAAATGTTCGGTGTTTAAAGAGTGAAGTAGAGAGTAATTTACAAAATAACCATCACTGTTCACTGTGATTCATTAGTTTTTTTTTCATTTGCTTTTCATCTAATAGACAATTTACATCCATTATGCATATAGTTTTGCGTTTTTTGAACACAAAATCGAAAAAATTGTTTTTCTTCTTTCTATCAATTATGATGATAGTCCATAGAATACATTCACTCCATCGACGGGTACACATATTTGCTCCAGACTTAATGGATCGTCCGGATCAGTTTCCGTCGTTTCTATGTATGTTACAGCGTCTGAATCCTTCATATTAACGGCTAAATCATCGATATCAGTGAGACTTTGACGCTTTTGTCGCACCAAAAATTGTTTACCACTTCGATTGCTTGTATCCGTCGATTCGGTTCCATTGCCACTAAATTGACTATCGCTCATCAAATGTTCTTCACTGATCACCTCACTTTCATCCACGATATGTTCCTCCTCGAGTGTCTGCGTTGAAGAAATATTGGTCAATTTTACAATTGTTCATTTTAGGTTTTTGTTTTTTGTTAAAATTTGAAATTGATTGCGAATCGTGATTTAAACAAAAAAAAACACTTACAAACTCATCATCGTCCATAAATTCTTCGTCATTCATACTGATATAGACAATGTCACCTTCGTTCGATTGGTCATTTTGTAAATTGTTGTTATCCTTTTTGAAATCCGGTTGATTCACAATGATTTGGTCGTTCAAATGTTGTTGTTGTTCCATGTGAGCGTATAGCAGGGGTTTTCGCATGAAACCTTGATGGCACACTAAACATTCATATGGTTTTTTATCGCTGTGCACATAACGATGTGCATTTCGATTGTCTCGGCTATTGAATGTTTTGCCGCACACTTCACACGCAAACGGTTTCACACCAGTATGGATGCGAATATGTTTCTTGTAGTGTTCGGGATACACGAAGGTGGCATTACAGGTGGTACATTTGTAGGGACGTTCACCAGTGTGTGTCGCTTTGATATGATATTCCAGAAGACGTCGCCGTTTAAATGACCGTGAACATGTTTCGCATTTGTAGCGTTTGTCATTGAAATGTGTGGCTCGTTTGTGTGACATCAAATTCGAACGTTGGGCAAAACTGGACGGACACATATCACATTTATACGGACTGAAAAAAAAAACGATGATTTCAATTAGAAAAACGCCGCCAATTTTCAATTGGATATCTTAATTAGGTCTCAGTTAAAAGTATTGCATATTTTACCGTTCGCCTGTATGAGTTCGTTCGTGATCTTTTATTTCGGCTCGGCGTGCAAACGCTTTGCCACACGTTCGGCAAATGAATGGCTTGTGGCCGGTGTGAACAATTTTATGCACCTCCAAATTATGCTGTGAACCGAACTTTTTGTTACACACTTCACACTCAAACTCTTTGACGCCCGTATGGGTGCGAACATGTTGCGTGAGATTTTGATTGCTGAAAAATGATTTGCCACATTCTTTGCATTCGTACGGTCGCTTGCGATCGTAATGGATTTTCATGTGTGCGGTTAGTGTGTATTTGGAGGCAAAATCTTTGGTGCAATGTGGACATTTGTAGGGACTGGAAGAGGGAGAGAGAGAGAGAGAGAAAAAAAATAGTTCAATTAAAAATCAGCATATTCAATAAGAAATCTTAATTAAGTCTCAATTTAGAGTGTTGCAATAATTTACCGTTCGCCCGTATGCATATTCATATGCTCATCCAATAGATTTTTCGAACTAAACTTTTTGCCGCACGCTTTGCATGGCCAAATTTTCGTGGTTACACTATGTGTCTTTTTGTGTACTCGAAATTGGCGTGCATCGGAAAAGCTAATTTTGCATATTTCACATTCGTATGTGCCATCAGCCGTGGCGGCCGTATGCTCGTCCATATGATCATTATATGGATTACGTTTACGGAAATCAAGACCGCACACGCTACACACATAAATCCGTTCATTGTGATCCGTTTTCAAGTGGATGGATATGGTTTTTGTGTCATACACCACCAACGATGCCGGTTGGCACAGTAAACATTGGAATTTTTTGCCTTCACGCAAAAACAGTTCTTTGTGCTCACCAGCACTATTGCCTTTTCGATTGCCCGATCGACTGGTGGTTTTCACTTCAAAGCCTCCACCACCATCGGATTGCTCATTTTTTAAATACGATTCATCATCGTACGACACCATTTTATCGTCGGGCATTTCCGATGAATTTTCTTCATCGTCATCCGGTTCCTCGGCACTATCCTCCTGGAATACATACTGATAATTTGAATCGCTCATTTCACCATTTGTACTGATTTCAATCATCTGATCGCCATTCGATTCGAAATACTCTTTGCCATCGTCCGTCAAATGTTCGGCGACAATATACTGTTCGCTTGCATCATGTGGGTCGGCTTCATCGCTCATTCCATCATTTGTATTTGTTGCACTATCAAATTCATTTGTCTCGTTCATCTCCTCCAAAAGCACCTACACATTTTCGAGGGAAAAGAACACTTTTATTAGATAAATTTTCACACACAAAAAACAGCAATTATTATCACTCACTGTGTGAATAGCTTGATCATCATCAATGGTTTCGTCCATACCAGACGATAGCATTGATGGACCAGAAATTGCAAAGAATGGGCTCGTTCCATTTTCCGATTTGATGAGCATCACTTTCTTCATTCGGGCATTTTTACCAGTATCATTGATGCCAACACCGTCACCGCCGCCGTCGCCGCCGCCATCGTCAACAACAACATTCTCATTGTTAAACACCTCAGCAATGGCCGAATCAACCGATTCAATTGCATACATATTTGTAATATTACCATCGTCGCCATCGTTAATGGCCTCATAGTTGTGTCTCAATTCCATTTCAATGACTTTTAAATTGTACTTATTGGCCGTTTCATTAAAATTATGTGTGATGTTTTGTTTGAGCTCTTGCATTCGAGCCGCTAGGCGATTGTATTCGGTGCACATTTGTTGACATTTTCGACATACAATTTTCGAATGTACTGTTTGCTCTTCGACACTTTGCTCCAGAATATCCGATAGAATTGTGGCCAATGATTTTGATTGGTCATCATTTCGCTTTGGATCTTCGTAGAAAAGTTGATCAACATTTCGAATGTGTACACTTTGAACACTAGCATCGCATAAGTAGCAATTTTTTGGTCGGATCGCTAAATCCGCCCTTGATATAGTTTTAAATGTTGGATTCATATTGCTGAATGTTTAGATGTTCATCCAAAAAAAATCATTTGGTATAGATCATCCGGTCGAAACGGCCGATTCACAATGTTGAGATCGACTTACTGCAGCTGAACACAAATATCCAACAGAAAAAAACCAAAATAAACAAACACAGCCAACTTTTTAAAATTGTTTTTCAGAATACAATGCATCCAACTAAAAGCCACTCTAATATTGAAAACAGGGAATACGGGCGACAGACATTGTCGTCATTATATGAATGGCGTGTGTGTGTATTTGCAATGACAGCTGCACAAGTTTTATAGAGGGCGCCACTGATACATCGCACGACCCTTTGCTGATTACAGAATCAATGACACAGCGCCATCATCATACAACCATCTTACCGTTTTTACCATTTGATTTAGGCGCACTCATCGTGCCCATCATTTTCAAACATCCGTGGATTATCTTCTTCATTGACTAATCTAACCGTATCTGCAACACACATTTTTGACACGATGGCTTACAGTGACCAAAGCTCATGGATAATTCCATTCCTGTTACCAAATAACGTAATTTCCACCAATTGGTTCAAAATGAATGAAGATACAGAGCAAAAAGCGACCGGCTCCACTTTCAGTATCACAACCGAGGAGAATTAAACACATTCACTGCTAGAATGACCTATAAACTTTATTGAAACCCATTGAGTCTGAGTGATAATTGTTGTAAACATTGGACTTTTCATTTCGCAAAGACGGGTTAAACTACAAAAGCGATGTGTATTTAGTTTCTGATTCTTGCTGGTCAACAGACACCAAAAAGCAATTTTCCATGCTCAAATTGTGGCTTGATTTTTGGGCACAATGAGCAAATTTACGAAACCAACATTGTCATTGAAACAGGTAATATTGACGAAGAAACGTTGAATGCTTCTCGAATTGTACATTTCTTCCAAGAAAATTGTCTTTTCATCAGTGAAAAATGATACAGAACTTTGTTATTCGAGAAAAATCAGCTAATCTTCTGTCATTTTCAATGTAGTTTATGCTGCGGCAAGAGGTGATAAAGCTCTACAGAGAAATATTCCGTTCAATTAAACTGGTTCCGGAGGTGTCAAGCCGAAATGATCTGAAACAATGGACACGATCTGATTTTCGTGCCAATATGCATCACACGGATGAATTAACGATCAAAATGCTACTGCAACATGGCCAGCGTTCCCTCAAAGAACTCCAAACCAGTTTAGAACTAAGCGGTATTACGCCGGCTTCGGAAGCAACTAGCACCAAAAATACAAAATCCAATGATAAGACGAAATGACAGTAAATTCGAACCAAATACTAGTCAAAACAAAAGGAGAATGTTTTTACAGTTATGATTGTTAGAAAAGAAAATGACAGGTTTTTTTATTTGTTTTAAACTCTACTAGGGATTTTCCTTTTATTTTATTTTTTTCGTTTTGGTATGAATAAATTCATTTATTGTATAAAAGATTTTCTATAATTTACGTTTTCATTTTTTTCTTTGCAATCCAAATGTCTCAAATGATGGCCACGTGCATTGTGTGTAAATAAAGCTTTGAATCATTTGTTTGTCGCATTCTAAATGGCATACTGATTTATCGAATGCCAAACACTTTTCAAAAGCGTGACTAAAAGAATAAGCGTACCGATGGATGTGACCGCAATGGTGATGCATTCACGCCGATTACGTTCGGGTATAAGATGTTGAAATAGATGGTTTATCGTCGCGCTGGTAATATGGTAACCGTCAAAATAGAAGCACGGTATCACATTTAGTGTTGCCAATCCGAGTGAAAAGACCACCAGATACTTGAGAATCAACGAAATGCCATCGGCAACATTGGAATTGAGCAAAAATGTGCGCGGCACATAGACTGATACTTTCATAGTGTATGCCAAATCCGATGGATGGCCAATATACATGACATCACGTTTGTCAATCCGTTTGATTTGCATAAGCGTCGTTGCATTGTTCATCATTGGTTTGATACAGTAGCTATCTTTGCACTTGCCCCGTGTTCGATGGCAATAGCCCGTCGAATGATCGATCGTATTCCGTATGTTTAAGCACATAAATTGTGGTAGTTCAATTAAACTATACGAACCTTCTTCGTTTATATATTCAAAGCAGAGATTTTTCACATTGCTTCGATCACAGCATTCGATGACACCGTAATTTGTGTGCGACACCTGTACCGATTCATCGTGATCAAGCACATACTCTGATGGGATACAGTATGATGGTGGATGTTTAATTGCATTTATTAGGCATCCATACCAGGTTTCTATATTTTTGATCTCACAATCATTTATCGATGTAATGACATCGTTTACGGCAAGCCCCTTTTCACCGGACAACGTTGAATCCTGCTTCATACTGGTCACAATCACCGATTTGTCAATATTGTAAAATGGCGTAAATAGAATTGGCAACAAAGACATAAGCGAAAAACAGAAAGCGGCCAATAAAATATTATGCCAGATTCCGGCACAGAGGATACGAAGGCGACGCCACGTTCGTAAACTGTTCAATTGGTCGGTACTGATTTGTGTATAGGCAACCGGCAGCACAAGAAGCACATTAAATCCAAATCCAGTCAGAGGCACATCTTCCAATACAGCCGCAAATGCATGACCCATTTCATGAACCACACTACAGATTCCCATGCTGGTAGCGATCGACGGCATGAAAATTATACAAACACACCAAATTAGTCAATTCAATGAAAATGAAAAGAAGATCAACAAAAAAAAAATTGATTCCAAGTTAAAACTTGTTCAACGAGTTTTGTGTCTGAAAAATGAGCTTTCAGCATTGTTGACTTACGCAATGACATAGTAACTAATTTCATCAAATGGTAAATTCACACCGGGTAACATGAGTTCAAACTGAACGCCAGTGTTTGCCTTTTCCGTGGACATCGTTTGACCCGGCGCCGATTTAGCACCGTTCAGAAATGCATCCCAGATATACGGTTTCATTTGCCACAGCAGTAACATGGGTAACAGGCAAATGGACGAAAAAACACCGACGTCAAAGGAGTAAGTGAATAGTTTTGGATAAGTGTGCGCCCATTTGATGGTGATTCGATTCAAAGCCGTTGTATACCATTGAATACGGAATGGTTTGATGGTTAAGCCTGTGCCATTCAAAAACGCCTCATATGGATAATGCATACAGCTCTGCAATGCAATAAATTAATTATTTATTGAAAGGAACAGTCAATAAATTCTCTTTTCTTACCTTGAAAAATGAATCGAAAAACCAGAGCACCAAATAAATGGCCAATATGACAATTGCGAATACCATAAAATCCATATTGAAGTGCGTTTCTGTCTGTGTATATTTTAGACGGTTTTTGTTTAGCGAGAATCTATCTTAATTTAAATGAACGTTTTTGCACATATTTCTATTATTTGAAGATGGACTCATCAGCCTCAAAAATCTACACCACTGCTATTGACGCTGAGATTTATTACACAGTTTGATAAGTGTAATCAACCGGCGCACATTTGTGACAACCTTCCAATTAAGCTCAGTGATTTTCCAAAGAAAATTATCGATTTCGTTGTTTCGTTGCAACAATAAACTCTCATGTATATTGCAATTGAAATTAATCTATTTCACCAAACAGCAACAACAAATTGGTTTCATTTTTGGTGGAGATGCACTTAAAATAGATTCACTTTTGCATATTTATTTGCTACATATTTCTCAGAGCGAAAGAGAGATGACGAATGAGGATGGAAAAAAAAAAACAAAACAAAAACCCAAATCGTTTGCTTGAACTGTCACTATTTAATGTGAACCAGTAACGACCTCTAGTCTGACGTCAGTTTGAATCGTAATTATGAAATCTGTGCATGATTTTAAAACCAATTTAATTCTTTCGAAAAAATGAAATTAACAATCAATAAAAAGGTTGGATTTATTTAAAAATAACAATCAACTAAACAAATCTGAATTCTAAATCAACTAAACAAATCTGAACGTCCAAAACGTTATTCATTTCTACATTTCGATTAGTGCGTATTGCATGTATGTGTTTGGCGTTTGGAATGATTCACGTTGGTATGGTGGTGTTTGGTTAAAATTTTGACAATTGTGGTGTCGAGGTGCCGAAAGAAAACATTGCGTGTTATTGTTTAAGTACGAACACGTCGGTTTATTGAGCATTCATGCGTTTTGTTGTTGCCTTTTCAGTTCTGAGTGTGTGCCTGTGCATCGCAGTCAAACGATAAAGGGAATATATATGACGAGAAAAAAAAACAGACAGAGCACAAAAGTGTACGAACACTGAAATACACAGCAGTAAAGATTTTGATGTAATAGACACATAGCAGCAGCAGCAGCAGCAACAAGAAGTTGAGAAATTAAAAGAATAAGTGAAATAACATTTTATTATTGCCGGCATCCAAAGTGAGAGAGACACACCATAGAGAGAAATAGCATCTATGAGAAGAGTGACATTTGTGTCAATTTTCGCGAATTCACACATTTAGCCGAGCAGAATCCAATTGGACCGCAGAAAATCTTCAGCCAACATTTAATCGAAGGTCGCATTCCATAATTCAGCTCGAAAATTCAGATCATTTCGATAAGGGGTGATAAAATTTTAGTGATAGATTTTGGTTTTTTCTTTTCTCTCTGTGTTGTGGTTTTAAATTTTTTTTTATTTGATTGTGAGATGGTGCATACGAAAAGCGTCACTTCAGTGGAAAAAAAATGTTTGAAATGACTATTTAGATTTGATGCGAAAACGAAAACGTGAAACATAAATACGATAGGGTTCGTACAGTTCGTAATTAAATCGAAACGATCAAAGTCGATCATCACATTTGTTTATAAGAATCAACAAAATTAAAACGAAACATGTCAGCATATCGACGAATAAATCGTGGTTCACGGTCACTGGTAAAGATTATTCTTCTAATATTACATACAAACAAAATTCTTGTCATTTTTTGTTTTGTTTTGTTTTTTATTCTCAACTAATTATAATGTTTTTGTTGTTGTGTTTTTTTTTCTGTTCTCGTCTCTCATTACTAGCAACCAACATTTGGTAATTGTAGTACCACAGAGACAACTAGTTCAAATTCAACAGCATCAAATAGTACCTCAAATCCAAATGACAGTTTGAATAATATCAACAAGTCATTGGTACAGTATGACAGCAATAGTAGTACGGATTCGTTGGCCAAATCAGGTCAACAACAGGCTGCTGCTATCAAATATGATGAATTGCAAACGAGTAAATTTGAACATGAACTATCAAATGGCAACGGATTCACCAGTTATCCGATGCAACCGAAACACATACGATTCCCCGACGTGCCGTACAGCTCCGAATTAGTCAATGAATTGATGATCTTTCTTTACACCATGATTGCAACGGCCATGCAATTTTTACATCTCTACCGAACCGTTTGGTGGCTACCCGAATCAAATACCAGTCAAACGATGGTAAGTGGTGTCATTTTCTAATGCGTCAAATGTCAATGTCTTCTGTTCTGTACAAGCAGTATGAAACAAACTAATATTTTGTTTGCAAATGTATTCCACAACAGAATTTCTACCTGATTGATGAACACTTGACAATGTTTATTGTGATATTATTAGGACGACGATTTATGTACTGCTTTTTATTAGGAATTTTGGAAATGATATGTCCGAAGCAAGTGTATCACATTGCACTGAAATTCATACGGTATGTATACAGAGTTAAAGACAAGCTCACATTGAATTTCAAATGTTGTGACGTGGTATTTTTTTTTCTCGGTGTTTTTCATTTGAAATAGGCTCACATTTTTCATTGGAATTTTGTCCGTGCTGGGATATTTGTGTTTTGAAATGTTTCCAAAGCAGCGGTATATCGTAATTTATTTATGCTATCCGATGATTGTCTATGTCATAACATTTGGTATGCAAATCGAACCATTTCTACGGACCATCTTCGAAACGGAATCGTCAACGTACTTCAATGGCATCCCGTCACATTCGTGTTCAACAAATCCAACGGTGATACGCGCAGAAATCGATATACTGCGCACTGACTATAATAATCGTTTCAAACAAGTCGTGTTTACATCGCTATTGAATGCCTACTATGCGGCATTCATTCCGTGCTGTTTTGCTCAAAGTTTTTTATACTACGATCTGTATTGGGCGACACAGCATTTGGGCTTTTTGGTGCTGGGCGGGTTAACAATGTGCGCGATGTGCTGTTTTCCAGCCAATTACTGTGATGTTATGCACATGGCGTCATTGCATCTGGGCAAATGGTCACGAGTTGAATCACGGCCATATTCACCGCCAGCGGTGGCATGGTCGAAACTAGTCGTGTGGCCACCTGGCCAGTATATCAAACATTCAGGGGAACTGTTCAAATCGTACGGTGTCATTACAACTGCAATCCCCGGCAACGGTGTTCATATACGGTTTTATGTAAGTAATTCACGCTCTCTCTCTCTCTCTCTCTCTCTCTCTCTTACCTATTATACCTTCTAGTGTAGAGATACTATTTTGAGCTGAGCCTATACTAGGAGTGAATCTGTCGATACAAAATGTGTCATGCTTAGATGAATTTTTAATAAACATTTTGTTTTCTTTTTTGTGTGTCAATTTCAGATGTTCTTCCAAAATCCGTCTAACATTTATCTCATTTTATCCATAATTCAATCGGTGATCGTAATACTTCAAGTTGTCATATTGTTTATGGTTGTTGAATGGCACAATATCATCTCGTTAAGCTATTTAGTGCTGGCAAATTATCATACGCTATTTAAAATAGTGCGGGATTTCTTTGTGACACATCGCATGTATTCTTCATCAAAAATGCATCGATCCTGAGCCGACGACGACGACTCCATCATTATTATCATCACCAATTGGATGGGGTTTTCTCGCTTTCGTCGTTAATTCAACCGATCGCCTCAAAATCTACATTTTTTTTGATTTCGTTTCGAATACAATAAATTAAACAATAAATGAAGAACTGATCTAGATGTTAAACACATTCAAAACAGCACACAAACACACACACATACACACATCTCACAAAATCACACATGCCAAATGAATCTAAACGTATGCTTGCACATAAAACACATACATCTTACAAATCTGTTGTTTTTTATGTACTCAAATGGATGAAAATCACTTAACCAACAACAAAACAATTTTTTTGTCGCTTATTTTATTAGTTTTATTTAAACTTCTTACTTTCTTCTTCTTCTCTTCGTTTCACTTTCTCTCACTCGGTACTAAGAATTCGTGAATGTTTAAAGAGTTTCTTGTTGGCTATTGGTCAAAACCAAAAATCTTTTATTTAAAATAAAAATTTGCAAATGAAAACAAACAATCTGGTCTTTTTTTCTTTCTCTTCTGGTTTCAGTCGTGTTTTTTTTTTCTTCTGTTTATTATAAATATTTGAATAAGCTACGAAATATACAACGGAAAAAAGTCTAAAATTGAATAAACTAGTTATAGGTTTCACCCTTTCGGCCACGGAATCGCGTTCGCATATCCAACTGTGGAGGTAAATGAGAACAGAAACAAATTGGAAAAGGACTTTATGTGTTATGGTCATTCAAATCACTGATGAAAATTGAAAATAAACAAAAATTTACGTACGATTGATCGCTTGCATTCGAAAAATGTGTATTTCAATGCATGGCACTCTTCCGGCACAGTGCTATCATTTCGTTTCAAGCAATCGCGAGGCAACACCTTTTCCTGCAGACCATTTGAAATGGTTAGTTGCGATTGAAGGTGCTAATCATAAAATAAACATTTGTATTAAAATAATTGAGCATCACCTTTTTACAGCAATCACTTTCCAGTAGGCACATTTTTAGGCTAGCCCGAAGTTCTGCACAAGGTGATTTATCGGCGAGTTGTTCGCCTTCTTCAGTATATGACATCGGCATATTGAAAACGCCCAGTGGAATCCGCTCACAAATCGAAAATTGAATTTGTATCAAACAAAGCCTTGATTATGAAACGAAAATCGGGTCGAAGTTGATGAAATTCGGCATTCAAACAAGGAAAAAGAAAACACTCTATTTTATTCGCTCAATTGTCGGAATGTCAACACTTGTCAAAAACTCGTACACCAACACACATTCGAGATGACTTTGTTTTGCTCTGAATTGCACGTTGAAGGAAGAAAAAGTGACATTTCAGTTGTCAAACCATTTGTGGTGTTGGGCGTGTGTATAAGTGTATGCGTGTGTATGTGTGTTTGTGCGAATGAATGTGTGCACTGTCGACTGTATGAACGATTTCAAATCGCTTTTTTTTTAAAATTTCAACTTCAATTATTTTCCAATTAGACGATTTGCAGTTGTTTCAATTGCGAGCCGCATAATTTAATATTGTTCATGTGCAATTAGGGAAAAAACGGAATCATTAGTGAATCAATAGCAGTGGGAAAAAAAGTCATGTGTAAGTTTTGATTGTGGTCGACATAACGGATACCAAATTCTAGTAGCAGTAGCTGTAGCAGGCAAAGCAGCAACAAATACATGGATTGAACGAAAGACAGTTCGAATGAATGTGGATAATGCAAATGGCGACTTTTTTTTTTATTGTCCCACATAGCAGAAAGAGTAGCAGTAGCAGAACAGCAGTAGCTCGTCGAACTGAGGGAGAAAAACAACACCAGAAATTGTCGCACTTTTCTCATCACTCGCCAAGTGGAATACAAGAAGACACAGCAGAAAGAGAAAAAAAACACAAGGAAAACTATAAACAAAAGGAAATCAGTTCGTTGATTTTCGATACGTGCCGTTTGACTCAGTTCAAGTGATAGAACTATAGCACACACAAAACCGAATAAACAATTAGAAAAAATTGTGACAGCTGCACCAATTACAAACAGAAAGAAAGGAAAAAAATCGCTCCCAAAAAAAGCAACAACGTACAAAAAAAAAGAAGTTTTTTTTCCTCCATCATCATCGTCGTCGTCGTAGTCATTCCTCTGTCTTGGTGTCGATTGTTTGATTTGTTGTTTGAGTTGATTAGCAATAGAGAGAGAATTTATTGTGCTGGAATTTTTTTTTGTCGTATTTGCGAGCAACGCGTTGTTCAACGAGTTTAAACCATTTGAATATTTTCAAGAGTGCTTAATTCGTTCATTGTTGCGACACTTCGTGTAACACAAAATAGTGTGTGTTTTTTTTTTGTTGTTGTTATTTTCGCTCGCTCGCTCGTTATTGTTTTTTTTTCTTTCTTCCTTTTGTTATTCATTTCGATGTTAAGGTTCATCTCAATCAAGCATTGAATTAATCATGCATTACGATAAAATGAAAAAAATCGATGTGCTTTGGACAATTGACTGGTGGAATTGTGTTGCATTTTTGTGAAGAAAAATAAATAAATAAATAACAATAAAAGAGTATCGACAATTTTGCGTAGAAATCAATTTCGTGTGTGAGTGTTTTCATTATTTTTTTTTTTTTCGGTTGTTGGCTGTTTTCAATGTGTGTGACACGAATCGAATGGGCTATAAACGGGATAGCCACATGTGAGAGTGTAATTTGTGTGTTTTTTTTTCTTCTCTAAATTCTCTATTCGAGCGCTCTCTCGGTGAATGCAATTTTTGCAATGAGTGAGCGTGTATTTTATTATCCACGACGATCATAAAGTGCATTGAAGAAAGAAAAAAAACAGAAGAAAGACAAACAAATAAAAGAACTACAACAACCGCACTCCGAGAGCAAGTGAGAGTGAGTGAGAGAGAAGCGTAGCTTAAATGAACAAATGAATTAAAATTGCCAATTGCGAATGTAAATGACACCAAAGTGATTGTGATTCAGGCAAACAATCACTCATAGTGAGACACATTTTTGAACAAAAACAGTGGAAAACAACACGAGACACACACCGAAGTCATATTTGTACAACAGCAACAACAACAACAGTGTTGTGTGCGCCTATTTGTTGTTTTTTTTTCTTTCGTTTTCCGTGTGTTCGTTCATTTTGAGAGCCTCAAATCGAAATGTGAATCACCGCGTTCACCATCAGTTCGTGTGCGTGCATATTTATACATTTTCTAAAAAGCGACGAAATTTCAACCCATAAAAAGAAGATAAATTTTTTTCAAAGGTTGTTTGAAAAAGAAATGAATTTCTCGACGAGAAGATGACGAAGAGAAAATGCTATTTTGGCTGTTAAATAATCACTGAATTGAAACATCTAGTGCTAGATACGGTTTTGAACGAGAAAGAGATAGAGAGAGAGAGAGAGAGAGAGAGAAAGAGGGAATAAAATGCTATGCAAACGGCGAATAGAATCATCGGTTTGATCGAATTTAAAAACGCACACGAGCAACAACATTTCTTTGAATGGATATATCATGCATTTGTTCCTGTTGTTTGTGTGACACAACTGGGCCATAGAACGATACAAAAACAACAACAACAAAACCACCACCACCGGAGATCTATTGAATTCTGTGTGTGTTGTTAATTCTCTTCGTCATTTTGTTCTTTTTTTTCTGCTAGTTTTTATCAGTGGCATATTAATTTCATCGTAAATTGGTACAATTTACAGCAGCATCCATACATATTCACGCTATTTTCACACTCCAAATGATTGAGGATTAGCCAATAAATTTGCTTTTTGCTCGTTTCCAACTTCGATTCGGTTGTTACGTCAATTATTTATTACCAGAAACAAGAGAGAAATTCATTTGCCAGCAATTTTAATTAGGCTACACAAAATTGTACTACACGAAAATAAAGCAGCAGCAGCAAATAAACACGGCACCGGGGCCGCACAGTCAAAGCAAATAAGAAAAGAAAAAAAAACAGAGAACAAGACGAAATAAAGTGAGAGAATACACGAGAGCTTGTGCGATAGAGAGAGACAGAGAGGAAGGTGTAGAAATCAAATATTCAAAGTCGAGACGCATCGAACATTTTGAATATAGAAAAGGAACGTGCTGTGAAGCATAAATCAATTATCGATATAGTGGATATATATCGAAACGAAGGATTATTTCTTTTCAACAACAACAAAATCATGGCTCATAGCTCAACCTCAATGGCGAATGCAAGCAATTTGCTCAGCTCGGATATATCACGACGGAATCCACAAGATGAATATGAACTGATTCAAAAGATTGGCTCGGGCACTTATGGCGACGTCTATAAGGTAAGTGCTGATTTTTCTCTCGCCTTGTTCATTCCTCTTAGTTTTCATTTTTGTATGTGTGTGTGTGTTAAATGCTGACTCCTTTCATTGTTTAGCGATGTGATGGTTGCAATTTATGGGATATGTATGTCGATGAGCGCTGATCGAGCTGTTTTCATTTATTTTCTCTCTAATTCATGTTATGGGTGGATGTGTGTGTGTTTGGTTTTCTGTGCGCGGATACAGGTGCACCCGTACACTTGAACACGTAACTCGAGCCAAGGCAATAAAACAAAAGCGTTGAAGAGAAAAAAAAATATCTACGAACTATCACTAGCTAAAGCAATTAAATGTATTAGAATTACGTTGTAATATGCATCTTTCGGTTGATGTTGTTTGCGCGTGGATAGAGACAAAGAAGCCCTTGTACAGATCGAGATACCAACGCATATCAATGGAGAGAGAGAGAGAGAGAGAGAACGGGCATTTTTGCATGCATTACATCAGTGGAGAAAGTGAATTAAAAAGCAATTACTTATTGCTTTTTTTCATCATCATCGTCGTTAGTCATCGTTGTCGGTGTGACAATATGATGTTGTTGTGCAGTGGCGTGGCCGTTGCTGTGTGAGTGCGTTTTCTCGCTAGCAACTGCCTTGCCATATGAAAATCTGACACTTTTATGAAACGTTATGCCAAAATTGCTGTGCTACTCAGCACACAGTCTCCGTGGCAATAGAACGTCTCCGTCCATCGTCGTCGTCATCGTGGTCGTTGTTGTTGTCGTCGAACATGAGTTTGGGTTAGCAGAGCGAAAGAATTTGATTATGTGCAAAATGTGTATATGTTTCGCATAAATCTTGTATTTACATCGAGCGCCCTAAGCATTTGAACCAACGTTCAGTTTTTGTTGGTGCCGTTGTTTTTCTTCTCTCGTCTTATTCAATTGCAAGAGCTCATGCAACGTGCTTTATCGATGCTCTCTTACACTTTTTTTTTATTTTCACTGTGTACTTCTATGTGTTATGGGCAATGCCAGCACGCACATGTGTACAACGGTTCAAACCTTATGTATATATATATATATATATTTGCACACGCAGACACACTCACATTACTTCACCAGGCATTAAAATGTGGATTATTTGGTTTACATCCAATTTTTCTGGGTCATTTGAGCGCGCTTTGAGCAAATCGGTCTCTTTTTGCCTGCATAAACTTACACATGCTTTACAGCATGGATTAAAATATGTATTAAGTATTTTGCATGTTTGATTGCTTGGGTCGCGTTTTCTTTTCCCATTTGTTTATATACATATACGTATATGCAACATTTCAAGCATTCACGCCCGTTTCGGCTCTTTCTCTTGCTCTCTATAACACTTTGTGTGCACATGCCGCTCTCGCGCGCAACTCTACTTCAGTTGGCATGTTTGTCAGCAATTTTCATTACTCGTTATGTCAGCGTTGTGGTGGTGGTCGTCGTCGTCGTCTTTGTTGTCGGTGGCGGTGGCGGTGGCGGTGGCGGTGGCGGTGGCGGTGGCGGTGGCGGCATCGTCGTTGAGAGTCTTCATCTTCTCGGCATATTTTTGCTCATGTCATCGTCAATTCTCAGCAAACGACACTTAATGTATGTAGAATTCTACGATAATATTTGATTATGCACATACATGACATCTCTAGACGCAATTTCGGCTGGTAGTTTGATCCATATGATTTATGCGTCGATAAAATAGTGTAGTAAACATGCCAAAGATTATGTATATACATAACTCGCAACACACACACGAAATGTAAATATTATAAAAGAATTTAAGCTGAGCCGACCCAACCGACCGACCAAACGACTGCCATCGATATATAAAAATCAAAAGCACAACATCAACTAAATGCCAAACAAATTTTGGCTCTCTCTTTCTTGTCGTCTTCGTCGTCATCGCCACTGGTTTACGAGTCTGGAGTGCAAATAAAAACACACGTCGGAGACGAAAAAAAATCAACATTTTTTTGCTCTAGCTCGTTTTTGTCCCATTTGCTGTGTATTGACAAGAAATGTTACATATTTTCTTTGCGACTGAGCAGTTTTCACACCCGAAAATCAAAAAAAGCAGTATCAAATTGAATTCAAGGTTATTAAGTTGTGAATAAATGACAGCAAAAAAAAAGACACGAAGCAACAAACCGAAAACATTCAAACAGGTGTGTGTCATTTACGTAATCGCAAATGTGGAATTTTATCTGCTAATAATGTTTTTATGACGAATGGCGATGTTCATCAATGTCGTTGTCCATCGAATTGCAATTTGCATGTAATGTTCGGAAAATGCAATGTGGAATTACCGTCCAATGAAATTGGATTTTCCTTTGCCTTCGCTCGTCCGCACCAAATATTTGCTCACAGTGTTCAAATGGTGAATTCCGATTTTGCGACATATTATCTATCTATCTCCCCACTGTGTGTGTTGTTTGTATGTGAGTGCATGAAATAATGAACTAGTTTTGTTGCGATATTTCAAGCCATTTAATTTTTTTGTTCGTTCGTTCGTTCGTTCGTTCATCCATTCACACATGTTCTCTATGTTCTGTAGGCAAAACGTATCCAAAGCAATGAGCTAGCTGCAATAAAAGTAATTAAAATCGAGCCGGGCGATGATATTCAAGTGATACAACAGGAAATAATAATGATGCGAGATTGTCGACATCCGAATATTATTGCGTATTTTGGTTCGTATCTGCGACGTGGTAAACTGTGGATATGCATGGAATATTGTGGCGGTGGCAGTTTACAAGATATTTATCAAGTGACCGGGCCATTGAATGAACAACAAATTGCCTACATGTGTAAAGAAACATTGAAAGGGTTGGAGTATTTGCATTCGAAGAATAAAATGCATCGCGATATCAAGGGTGCCAATATATTGCTCACGGAGAATGGTGATGTGAAATTAGCCGATTTCGGTGTATCAGCACAAATAACCGCCACAATAAATAAGCGGCGAAGCTTCATTGGAACGCCGTATTGGATGGTAAGTGTGGAATCGAAACGATCAATTATGCTGTTCTCTCTCTCTCTCTCCCTCTATGTTTCGCTTGAGAATTTAATGGCCAAATTGTTGGGTTAAATTTTTTGTTGTTCTATTTTGCAGGCGCCTGAAGTAGCGGCCGTCGAACGAAAGGGTGGCTACAATCAATTATGTGATATTTGGGCGACTGGCATAACGGCCATTGAGTTGGCCGAACTACAGCCGCCCATGTTTGATTTACATCCGATGCGTGCATTGTTTTTAATGTCAAAAAGTAGCTTTAAACCGCCCACGTTGAAGGAAAAAGAGAAATGGTCGCCAACGTTTCACTCATTTATCAAGACAGCGCTAACGAAAAACCCGAAAAAGCGACCAACCGCCGAAAAGCTGCTATCACATCCATTTGTTATGAGCGACATGTCTGTGCGCATTGTCAAGGATTTGCTACAAAAGTATTTAAGCCCAAATCAATTTGACTTTTATTCGGACGGTGATGATGACCTATCGGGCATTCCAAATAACGTACCGCAACGGATTGCGAGCCGTGCAACATCCAGCCGCAGCAATGGTTTGGCGAAAAATCAACAAAATCACACCATAAAAAATGGTATATAATACACTAATAAATACATAGACATACATAAGGCGTGCAAGAGTCTTTAAGTGGAAATTGAATATTCGCCACACTTAGACAAGCGCCATTCATTGATTTATATGCTCTAATTTTATTGCTTTTTTCTCTTTTCGCGCTCAATGGTCTCGTTCGATTAGCCCCATCTTCGTCACATTGGAGTAACGGCCGTTCGTCTAGCCCCGAAACATTACCAAGTGATATGTAAGTGGAGAGAAATGCAATTCGACTTTATTTAATCCATTTAAAAATCCCCTTTTATTTATCTCACGCGCCAAAAAGAAAACAAATCGTATCTCGTAATCTTAAGCACACCCAATCGAATTTCAACATTTAACTGTCTCGCTCTGTCTCTCTTGAATTCGAATCCAAACCGACCGAGAAAAATTGATAAGGCAATAAATTGAAAAAGGCATTCGGAATTTTATTTAACTCAAAAAAAATCTCTTCTTTTCGTCTTTTTTCCTCTTCAAATTTTCGTTGTCGTGGCTAACACACGGTTCTAATCAAATTCTAACAAGAGAAACAACAAAATTGAGAAAATAAGTTTTAAATTAAATGTTATTTTATTTTGTGTTAATTTTTTTCATATTCTTCTACATTCGTCTGTGTTTTTCTTTCTTTTATAATTATTCGAAATCATCGATTTTACACCGGATGTACAGAAAATTGAAAAATTCTACGTGTCGTCGTAGTAGTCGTCATCGTCGACATTCCAAAGCAACCGGCACTATGTTGTTTCGAATGACGCTGAGGTTGGCGCAAATGTTTCCTTGAATTCTCTTCATCGTGTGTGTTTTTATTTTTCACTGAACTGAAACATTTTTTTTCTCGCTATTTTGTTCTGTGTTCTTTTTGTTGTTGTGTTTTTTTTTCGCTCTCGATTACTTGTTTTCACTTCTTAGGATGATTTGCATTTGTTTTTCTCAAAATAGCCATGCGTTGCGGCAAATGGAATGTGGCTGAAAACAAATGCTGATTTTTGTTAATGTATTCAAGGCTTTTCTAATATAATTTTCGAACGCTTTTTTTTCTGTCGAAAATAAGCGATTTTACATGGTCTCTCTCTCTCTCTAATGATCTGAAACTTTTTGTGGCCGGACATCGAAACGGAGAGGTTCTATTGCGCTTTGATAATCAATAACGCGTTGCAATTAGGTGTTCCTTGTTGTTTTAATTCAACAAGAGAGAAGCGATGTTCAACTCACCATTTTTTTTAGTTTATTGCTTTATTAATTTTTCTTTTTCATCTGACAAATATCAACAGAAAAATACTAACCCTTTGACACTTTTCTTTCGTTCGATTCATGGAAAGCAAAACTAATCAATTACATTTTAGCAAATAATTTTTACATAAACGACTCATTTTCTAAGGCAACACACTCTTTAAATACAGCAACTTCATTCACTAATTTATAGTTTGAGCTTGAGTTTGCTCTCGATTTCAATCAAAGTTTACAACAAATTCAAGTCAAATTCCAAATAGAATGACTCGATTATTCAAAGGTCTCTCAACGTTTTTTTTTTCCTAGTTGTATGTGTGCGTGAGTGTATGGAGCGAGAATATTTTAATTCAAGATTTTCTACAATGAACCCTTAAAAGCCAATTTTGAATAGACTAAGTTTTGATCTCTCATACTCACTATTCTTTTTTTGGTTTAGAAATTCTTGTTTTTCGTATGATTTTCTTTAATTTCATGCACATTTTGTGTGTTATTTGTATTTAGCTGCATTTTTCGCAAATTATTTTCTTTATATGCCAACTGTTGACAAATCCAACAAAATTCGAACGTGTTTCAAACGAAAAATAATTTCGCTGAACAAAATTGAAAAATTTCTTTTTTTTCTCTTTGAAAATTCTTCTTCTTCTTCTGTAAAAAAAATCTTTTCTCTAGAAAAATTCTATTCTTTTATTCAGACACTCTGAAAAATCATTTAATTCTCGAAAATGCAACAAATTTTGGCAAAATATTTCGTTTGAACTAAAATAAATTATTACATATGAATTTATACATAACTTTGGTAAATTTACCAAAAAGAAAAGAAAAAAACGATTAGGAATTTCGTGTGCATTTGATGCATCAAAGATGCGAGTTTGTTTGAAACGATTTAAAATAATTTTGCGTGTTATATTATTTTGATTTGTTTGGTATGAAATGTTTTTTTGTTGTTGTTGTTGTTTGGGTTTGACACGAATTTACAACTGATTTTTGAATTGTAGGAGTCTCTTGCAATATATCGATGAGGAGCTTAAATTAAGGTAATTTAAAGTTTCTGTTCGTAAACATTTGACTTTTGAAATACCGTAAAATTCTGTTGTAAAATACCCTATTCTTTCATATTTAGATTGCTTTTGGATTTTAATCAGCTTTTAGTTGTATTCATTCAAATTTATTTTAGTGCCCAAGCATGTAAAAAAAGAAATTTTATGCAATTTTCCACATGATATTAACTGCTAAACTGCTTTTTCTTTGCTCTTTCGTTTCGTGCGCATGAATATCATTTCTTTTTCTGTTTCTCTCTCTCCCTCTCTCTCTCTTTCTTTCACATACAAAGTCCCTCAAATTTTTGTATTTTGAATAATTCATAAAGATTTTTGTTTGTTTACATTTTGTGACCCTCGATTCACCAAACGAAAAAGTCGTTCATCGTGCATACATGTAACATTCATTGAAAGACCATTTCATTTCTGTTCTTAAAAAAATATATCATTGAAATCATCTTGTTTATTGAAGTCATACAAATTGCCTAAGCCTATTCTGTCGTTACATCTGTTTATATCTGTTTTAAGACAACTAAAGCGAATCACATTTGATTTCTTCAATTGATTTACTTTTTGTTCTTTTGTTGTAATTTTTTTTCTCTCTCACATATGTGTCTCCTGCGTGCCTTCACACACTGAATATAAAACAAAAACCGATAAACATATGTACGAAAAAAAACGAAATACGAAATCCACAGAGCGACACTACCCTTAACAACTGACACCAAAGAATTATCCGATTGTATGTGTCCACATTTGTCGAATTTGAATCACAACAATGGCAGTGATATGAATGCACCGAATGTTGTAACTGATCTGAGTAACATTTCCCATCAAGGCTTCGAATCGGACCAATTACGCTTCGATATGTCACCAATCACGGAAATCATCACCAGCAATAATTCACATAGCAATAGCAATCGAAATGGAGATGTTATTAGTTTAACGACATCCGTTGCACCAACGGTAATGATGACGACGACGATGACGACCACATCAACAACGACCACGGCAACGGGCACATCACCGACAGACGATTCACGGTTACGTCACAGTTCAATGGATCGTTTGATGAGCCTGCTTAATGACCTAGGTAGTTCAACGCGAACGCGAAGCCTGAGCGATGGTGGCCAAGAAGAAGGTAAATCTGTCGCTGAATTGAGTGAAATGAATTTTCAAAATTATTAACAAATTGCCTTTGCTTCTTGTTTTATTCAATTTTTCAGAAGTGGAAAAAGAGATTCAGCCAGATATTTTGAATAATACACCACCTGTGCCTCCGAAGCGAATGCATCGACGAAGGCAAACACCACCACGCCCCGTTTCGAATGGTTTGCCGCCAACGCCAAAAGTCCACATGGGCGCTTGCTTCTCGAAAATCTTCAACGGTTGCCCGCTCACCATTCACTGTACCGCATCATGGATTCACCCGGAAACAAAAGACCAACATCTGCTCATCGGAGCCGAAGAGGGTATTTTCAATTTAAATATGAACGAACTACATGATGCAGCCATCGATCAGCTATTCCCACGTCGAACCACCTGGTTGTATGTCATCAAAGATGTGCTAATGAGTTTATCCGGCAAAAGTTCACAATTATATCGACATGATTTGCTTGCACTGCACTCCAAAGATGCCAATCGATTTTCGGTGCACATGAATCGAATTCCAGAGCGTTTGGTGCCGAAAAAATTCGCACTCACCACAAAAGTGCCAGACACAAAGGGCTGTACACAATGCTGTGTGATTCGAAATCCATACAATGGATATAAATACCTGTGTGGCGCGTTAACGTCGGGCATTTTCCTTATGCAATGGTACGATCCGCTGAACAAATTCATGCTGCTGAAACATTGCGAATGGCCATCGTTAGCGGTTAATATTAGCGGTGTTAATCCAGCAATCAATGGTGGAATAACCAATGTTTTCGAAATGATCATTACACCCGAATTAGAGTATCCCATTGTTTGTACCGGCGTGAAAAAGGGCATCGGAGACTCGGTTAAGCTTGACCTCATCAATATGAACAGTGGTTGTTTTTCACATTTTTTTCTCCATTTAATTGCCATGCATAAGATCAAAGATTCTAACATCGATTGTTTTTTTAATGTGTTTTTCAGGTGCCAGTTGGTTCCATTCCGATGAATTGGAGATCGATCGAACCGCAACAATGGTACCCAGACGAGAACCCATCAAAGTAACAAAAGTATTTCAGGTAAGGAATTGTTCGACTGGAAACAGAAATCCACATCCATTTGCTTACTTCCATCTGTCATTGACTTTATTGTCATTTCTCCGTTGACATTCATTGAATTCCATTCCGAATTGATTTAAATTTTACACAAAAAACACTCACTTTTCATGTTGATCTCTGTATCTGCTGCAGGTCGATAAGGATGCAATACTGATCTGCTATGGTAAAACTGCGAAAATCGTTACCATGGAAGGAAATCCTCGACAAAGTAGAAAATTAGTTTCACATTTAGACTTTGACTTTACCATTGAAAGTATTGGTAAGTATTTCGTTCTAATTTTGTTGTGTTTTTATGCTTTCCAACCAGTGTCAATTACAGCTGTCACTTTATTAACATATTAATAATTTATTAATTTTTTAATAAAATGAATTTTTTATAAACGTTAATAAAATATAGTGCATTTTATTAACATATTAATATTATTAGTATGGTAAATTTTCGGTTATTAATATGGTGTACATTTTATTAGAATTTTAATAAAATCGACAATTTTTTTATTAAAATGTTAATAAAATGTGGTTATTAATATGGTGCCGATTTTATAAGAATTCTAATAAATTCGACAACATATTAGATTTCAACCGATTTTATCAACGGACGACATCATGTTCACATCAAAGTCTATTCAACACAGCGTTTAGATTAAGACAATCATTTATCACGACAAAATCTCGATGAAAAATGAGTCTGGAAATATTTGACATGTTTTTTGTATGAAACTTTTCTTCGCAATTGTTTTTGAACAATTTAGTTTTACAAAAAACATGTCGAATATTTCCAGACTCGTTTTTTTTTAAGGTTTTGCCGTGATAAATGATTGTCTTAATCTAAACGCTGTGTTGAATAGACTTTGATGTGAACATGATGTCGTCCGTTGATGAAATCGGATAAAATCCAATATGTTGTCGATTTTATTAGAATTCTAATAAAATCGGCACCATATTAATAACCGAAAATTCACCATACTAATAATTATTAATATGTTAATAAAATGCACTATATTTATTAACGTTAATAAATATGGTGTTTCAAAATTTTTATTAATTATTAAAATATGTTGTTTATTAACATATTAATGAAATACCGATTTTTGACAGCTGTAGTGTCAATCGAGTGAAATAATCTGATTTGTCTTTTATTTTTCCAGTATGTTTACCGGATAGCATTTTAGCATTCCATAAAAATGGTATGCAAGGTAGATCGCTGAAAAATGGCGAGATCACCCAAGAGATTTCCGATCTGAGTCGCACATATCGACTCTTGGGAAGTGATAAGTATGTTTATCGTTGTCGCATTTTTTTTTTACTTTGTTCATGGCACGAAATTCCAAGATGTTCGATTGCAACCAAACACGATCCTTCCCGAGATCATTCGAAAATCTTGTGTTCAATGTCTATAGTATTTTTTTTTTAAATGTTATGCACAAATTGCAATCTTGCGTCTCGGAAATGTTTGCCATAAACGGATTTTGTCCTTCTGTGAGCCCATTTTGATGATTATTTGTTGTTCGTCAACTGTTATTTCTACAGGGTTGTGGCATTAGAGAGTCATGTGGTACGAGCTGGATCCCTGACACAGGATGAGGGTCACGATCTTCATATTCTGGCCGGCCACGAGGCTAGCTACTAAACTAAAAGCAGTATTCAATAGTTTCCTGTTCGTAAACATTTCACAAAGAAAACGAAGAAGAAAAAGAAGAAAAAATAAACACCGTAGATGATGGAATAAAATTTCATGCGTTAAGCGCCCAATCAGTGATGGTTTTTTTTCAAATGCAGCTCCTCCAAGGATTGTGTTTACAAACGATGTGTATAATTAGAAAGAAGAAGAAATTAAATAGTGGCATAAATCAATTCGGTTCGATATAATTTGATTCATTCGGTAGTTTGTTGTGCGCACCATTTGCGCTTGGATGAATAGTATTTAGTAGCGTTTAGTTAACGAATTTCAATAATAGCGACACACAAGAAAGAACATAGACAAGCGAAAACAAAAAAAAATTATGATGAAAAAAAAATTAATCCTTTTTGTTGCACTGAGCGAAAAGAAACAAAAATTCAATTCTTGTTTTGTATTATTTTTTTTTTAAAGAATTACGATCGAATTTTTATTTATTTTACATGATTCAATCAAAATTGATTGTAGATTTTCTTTGGGTTTTTTTTTAATTTGGCCACACAGTAGCTTGGTTCAGTATGAAGTCGAAACGATTATCGTGTAAATCTATGTAAATATCGAATACGTGCGAGAGTCATTGTCCCATTTTGTGTTTTTTTCTTCTGTATTTATATTTTTCTCTTGAATTTCACTTGGAAATGGAACGGGTCACTTTATTTCCAATGTGAAATGTTGTGTTTTCGCTACGCACAATCAAATAGAAACAACCGTTTATCTTAACTTTCCCTAATAGTGGAAATGAACTACGCTATTTTATCGATAACAAAAACCTATTGAAAAATGGCATAAAACAGAAATTAGTTCCAGAATAATTGTCATTTCAGTCAACAGCAACACAAAATGTGTAAAGTATTTTTTAAACATAGCCACCCCAGTACATTCCAATTCCGTGACAACAGAAGCGCAGCAAAGCAATTCCTTCGGATTCATAAATATATGCATTTTCTATGCAATCAGTTTCAGTCCAAATAGCAATAAAACCGACAACGAACATATTTCCATACCGCAGCACAATTTAAGACAAAAACCCTTCGAAAAAAACAGAAACTACACTGAAATGTGTTTTTTAAATTCGAATTTTGTGTTTTTCATTCGATTTTTGATTGATATAGCACTGATATATGTGAACGATTTAGCTTTCGATTTCTTGTAAGAAACTGAAAAATATAGAAAAACAATGTACCTATTTTAGTAGGTTTAATAAATTAAACAAATGATATCACTTAAGCCCAAGGCAAAAGAATTAATACTGGCAACTTATTTTTAAAGCATAGAAAAAGAGAGACAGAGAAATGCAAACGAAACATTATATTTCATGCACATACTCTCACTCTCTCTCTCTCTCACACACACACACATTTACCTGAACATATTGATCCAACGTGAATACATTTAAAATGCAGATAAATTCAATAAACATGAAAAAATTTTAATAATTAATACACAGCAGCTAAATATACCATATTTAAAGACAAAATGAACACATCTAGTAATTAAATTTTGAACGGAACAGACATTCAAACTGTAAAGAGTAACAAATGAATATTACCTACAGATAAAAGCACAAGTTATTTTTATACCTAGTCAACTTAAAATGTGGTCGATAAGCATTATTGAAACACACAAATCTGGACATAATTCGTCGACAATTGTTTGGTCAATTTATGGCACAATCGCCGAATCACTTGGTTGACCACCATCCTTCCCCTCGATATTTTAACTTACCTCCATCAAATGTTTCCACGTGGAATTTCACGTAATTCACCTAACGCTAACCAATCCCCAAATAATTTTTTTTTTAACGATTCGGTTTTTTTTCACTTCAATTTGAATCGGAAAAAGACGAAAAATTAAATACAAAAAAACCTCGTGATCATACACATACACCCACACCCACACGCCCGAAAATTTGTAGATCTCTAAGATGTAACCAATATTCCTGAAACCATCCATTATTTTTAGCAATATCCAACACGCCAATGCAAAAACCGTATGATCAATGTATCAACCATAAAAGTCGAGAACACCTTAAAAATTTTGAAACAAATGCTTGCTTATACTGCGTTTTTTTTTTAAATAACCACAAACCAAAATACTTTATCAAAATTTAACACATATATTTTATATTTAATTTATTAAATCCTTTGTTTATAAAATCAAAAATAAAAAGAAAATAATTGGAAAAATGAAATGAAAAAATTGGTGTAAAATATTATAATTATTTTTATTTTCCATCAAAAAAATATACTTGAACAGTTCCTCGGATTTTTTTTTTGTTTAAATAAAGAAAAATCGCATTTTGTTTTCCTTCTTAAAATCGAATGTTTTATATCAAAATTTTATAAGCAAAAGAAAACAATTTGTTGAAACAAAAAATGTATATAAATTGAATAATTCCCGATGAAAAAAGGAAAAACAAAGAAATTCATCAAGTATATATCGTAATATTCGCCATCCATGCAACAATCCTAAAAATTCAATTGAATCTACTTTAACGAATTAACAAACAAAAATTATCTCTATGGAATGAATATGTATTGAATAATTATGAAAATTAATGAGGGCAAATGGCGAAGAAGAAAAGTGTTCGCACAATTTGAATCGATATTTTTTTTCGTTGCATAATCAGCTAACAGTTTTCATAAATTTTAGATGGTCTAAAGGTTTGAGTAAAAAAAAAAATTGCTGCCAAAAAGCGAATATTCCCCAATCCTCCCTCGCTCAAACACATACTGACGAAAGAGAGAAAAAAAATCCCGCATACAAATTACCCATTTTTTTATGTCATAATAAAAAAACAAAACTCAGTCAGTTGTATAGAAAGAGAGAAAGAGATTGAAATGGACTGGAAACGAATGAAGAGAAATTGTGAACAATTTATTCAAGAAAAAAAAAACTGATTATTATTAATGATGAAGATGAATAATAAATTTAAAGCAAAAAAAAAAATTCTATATTGTGTTATAAACTATTGCATAGAAATATCGCAGACATCAAACTATTTATTGCGTTGGACGAAGAAAATGAAAAGCGAGAGAAGAGATAGAAGAAAAAAAAATGAAGAACAAGAAAAGAGAAAGAGAGAGAGGGAGAAAAATCCACAAATAAAAAGTTTAGAAATGGTTATTCATGGTTAAATCAACTATTGTATTGTATTCGATTTGTTTTAAACAAAAAAAAAATTGAATTAAAAAAAAAAACAGAAAATTTAGCAACAACAAAAAAATCGAATAAAAACTGAAATAAAACAACATTTGGTGTTTATATTTTGTGTGCGTTCTTTGTATTTTGCGCGTTTCATTCTACATGTGCATTAGCGTCAAGCAGCTGCAAAACGAGTAAATTTTGTTTGTTATTTCTTTTTTCTTTTGGTTGCGATGACTAATGTGTCCTACGCGCGATGGTTATTTTAGGTGTTGCTTCATTCCAATCAGACATACCAACAACTGACCTGTTATGGCTTATATTTCCATCATCGCGTTAGTTGTATTGTATACACATCGCATGAATAAATGAATGAATTCTTGTGTTTTTCTTTTTCTCTTCATTTGGTTTTGGTTTCGATTTGACGTTTTGTGTTAAAGGGCGGTTCGTAATACCGTTTTTGGACAAGCGAAACAGTGAATGTGTCAAATGACTTTCAAATAATTGCGCTTGTGTGATGATGCACACATACGCCAGCACGCATTCAAACAGTTTGTTTGTTTAATGTGCTTGTAGCGCCTCCGTACGTGATCCAAAACGCTATCTCTCACTTCATACAGTACACTGAGACAAAGACGCACACACACATACACACTCTCACAGACATAGACATATATACGCACATACACACGGAGCAACGCTCGTTCTGTCTCTTTCACACTCCGCCTCTGTCTCGTATACTGTTGCACACGGTGTGAGTGTATCGAAATGTGTGCGTTGTGTGGTTTTGCCAATGGTTGTGTGTTTTGTGTATGGATTGTAGCGAACGTTGTGAAGCAAGTCAAGGATTTGTCATATGTCATTTTACAAACGAAAGAGAAAAAAGTCAGCAGCAAATACAAACGAGAGAAAGATTGATTTTGTGTGCTCGTTCAAAATCGAAATTCGATCATCATCGAATTCATATTATTACGTTTAGTTTTCGTTTTTCTGTTGTAGTTAAGTTCAAGTTTTTTTTTCTTTTTTCGTTTGTTTGATTGTTAACATTGTGCGAATCGAGCTTTCTAAAGAGAACGAATGAAAACACACAAAAAATGAATGAAAATTACGAGGTAAGCTCGGTGTAAAGACCATTGTAAAGTGACAGAGTGCAAATACACTAAAAAAAAAGAATCGACGTCGACGTCGTCGTCGGTGAATAAAAAGTATCAAGACGGACAAAAACAAGCAAACGAAATTAAAACCACACAAATTAATCTTCAAGCAGCAACAGTAATAATTAATAATAAAAAAAATTGGCGTCTAGATTTCCAAGAAATATCGTGCAATATTTTAAAGTGCTTTGTAAAAGAAACAACTGAGCGTTTTATTGCGGTTTTTTTTTCGAATTTGGCCATCAAATATTAAAGTGTGAACAATTCCAAAGTGTTTGTTGGAATAAAGTTCAATTGAATGGCAGTGCAAACAAAACATACCGAGCGTCCGACAGTTGTACATTGAAATTAAGTGTGCAATTATTTTAAAATAAAAATGCGTTGCATAAATCAATCGTCTTAACCAGATCAATTGCGCACTATGCTCGCTTCCAATTAAAACGTCGATAAATTTCTTCGATTTTATTTATTTTCTGCTTATTCACTTGTCTCTCGCTGTTGCTGTTGCGGAGATACTTACTGAAACATTGGAGATATATAGAGAGAACGAGGCGAAGAGTGCAGACTTGGGTAAGCAATTCCAAGTGTGAATCAATCGGGAATCATCAATACGACAGACCAAATACAATTTAAAACCACGGAATGCAAACACCAAATTAAGTGATATATCCTGTTCGATTTGTATTGCAAAAACTTCTGCTTCATTCAATACGTACTGTTGCTTTGAGAATGCCTTAGCAAGATGTTGCGTGATTGTGGTGTGTGTGTGTGTGTGTGTGTGTGTGAAATTTTGGCGAGACGCTCAGACAACGAAAATGCCGTGTACTAAACCCGATAGTTCGAGTGATCCGTGGCAGTTGAAACGCTTCATTTCCATCTAAAAATAGGACTTGTTTATCTTGCTATTTTGTTGAATCAAAGTCATGCAGGAAAACCAAACGAAAACATAAACAACAACGTGAGAGGCAAAAATAAGAGCAGCACACGACAGCAACACATCCCGAAATCATAAAATGTTTTTGTTTATAGTTGCGATGCATAAGATGATCAATAATGAATCACTACTCGCTCAGGCCGATCTCATTTCGTCGAAAAGATGATTCGCGAGATGTATGATTCGTCTTTTCGTTGTTTGTGCTGCTGTTTTTTTTTCCCGTTCTTGTCGCATTTTCAAATGATAAAGCGAATCGCAAAATTCTCAAGCGCATGTTATTCATGTGTCGTGTATTATTCCATACATATCGCGCAAATGACATCGTCGAAAGAAATTGACATTTGTTCAATTTTGGTTGTAGGTCATCCAGCACATTCATTCTCAAGCTATTTGTTATGTACGTTTCTCACTCCGTGTGTGTGTGTGTGTGTGTGTGTGTGTGTGTGTGTGTGCATCAATTAATCGGTTTTCCCCATTTCACCAATGAAATGACATTGCAAATCGTAAAATTTGTACGCCGATTTGTACGAAAATTTATTCATAAAACAAACAGCAACAGCATATTCATTCATTCATCGTTGAATGACAATGCAATTTATTAAGAATGAATAAAATTGCGAGAAAAAGCCATATTTATTTTTCGTTTTCGTCATATTCATTAAAAAAATATTGTTATTCAGCAAACGAGTGAATGAGTGAGCGCGCGCGCGTCGCACACATATCGATGGTATGCATCTCGAGACGTGCATTGACCCGTTTAACAGCAACTGTCATCACGGAAAATAACACGACGTTTCATGGTGTCGTCGATGTTGTAATTGGCTCTGTGTATTGTGTTGACCCGAATGTGCAAAGAAAAAAAAAATAACTAACCACCATAACGTTATTCTAACGAATAATTCTAATGAAAAATGTATCGTTTTTCTCTTCTATTCTTTTCTTTCTTTTTCATTTCACCCAAAAATGAAATGAAATTACAGAATTATTGCTAAGTGTGAGAATAAATAAGAAAAATGTGGTACAAAATGCTAAATTACGATGTGAACGTCATTTGAACGGTCAATCGATTCGGAAATTGAGAAGAAGTTTTAGTAGAAATCACAATTCCGACAAAAGGCGAATGAAACAGTGACACCACATTAGGATCACCCCAATAAAGTTCGAAAATAGTTATAGAAGACAACAACAAATTGAGCTCAAACATAAAAACGTCAGTTTTTTGTTTCCATTATTTGCTGGCATTGAGAGAAACCAGAAGCAAAAAGTGGAAACGGCATCATAGAGTGGTGACGGAATAAATAAATAAGCGAAATCGAATCATCATCGAAGACGTGTCTATTATTAAATTTGATTACGTAAAGTAAAACGAGACAGCGGGCGAGTGAAGGAGAACGAGAGACAGAGAGACCGAGAGAGATACATAACAACAACAAACGGCAACGGCGATGGGAAGTGTTTGGAAACGATTGCAGCGTGTTAATAAACGAGCGGCAAAATTTCAATTTACAGCTTCTTATCATGAGTTGAGAGTTGAGACCACCGCCAAATGGTAAGTGATTATGACACACAGCTTCTGTGTGTGGTTTTTTAGCACTACATGAAATGTAGAGCTACTAATCTGCTCTTTTTTTTTCTTAATACTTTTTGAGTGATGAAACAAATTATGGTGAATTCGAATTTTATGCTCATATTTTTTATTTAATTTATTATATTTTGGTTTATTTAAACCAAAGGCAGTATATTTCAAAAAAGAAATAAAACCAAGGTCTTGTCATTCATTTTGCAAATAAATATTTTACTTCAAAGTTACTTTGATGAAATACATTTCATGTGGTGCGCCAAAAAATAGTTTGTTGTGAAAAAACAAAATAGATTAAGTAACTAAAAACTCAAGAACGCAGATCGGAGCGAAGCGAAGCTCTGCGGTCTTGTTTTTCTTCTGCTTCTTTCGTTTTTGTTTCGGTAGCTTTTCTCTTATTACACTTATGGCACTTTCATTGAGCATAACGTCATTACACAATTATTCGGAAAATTTTGCTTTTTTTCGCATTTTACGACGACGTCGTCACTTGTTCCCCTCTCAAATCGACAGATTCAAGTGTAACCGTTTTACTTGAGAGCTACTTGGCTATTAATAGGCCTAGACTAAGTACAACGATTTTTTCTTTTTATTTCGTTTTGTTTTATTCTGTCTCTTATTTTCTAAGATTTACAAGAGAAATGAGAAACGGAACGGAAAAAGGTCAAGATTGAGAGAGATTAGACATGAATATGGATCAGCATAACATCGTTGTTGAAAGTAATAATTGCACTTTACTACATAATGTTATTGGTTTTTTTTGTGTTGCTGCTGCTGCAATTCAGCAATAAAAATGTTCCCGTATTCGAGAATTAATCGCATTAGGTAAATTTAATTGCTTGATTATGGGCAATTTTCGTCGTTGTTTATAACACTGAAACAATGTGTTGTGTTCAAGCGAATTTGTTGAATGAAAAAGAATGCTTATTCTTATATTCGCCGATTGCGCGACTCACTTTTCCAAAGTCGCTTGACAAATGTGCTGTCAGTCGCTAATTGACGCTGGAAAATATAATGTATTATGGCATGCTAATCGATCAGCATCGTTTCATTTCACAAACGTGTATAAAACCGCCCGAGTGCTCTCGACTCAACATTTTCAGCGCAACCAAAATGATTTTGTAATTCACTTCATTTGCATGCCTAAATCATAGCGAGCAACAATCGTGCGGATTTGCAATCGGAAGTTTGATAACGAGAATAACTTTGCACTGAAACTGAAACCGAAAAACAGAATAAAAACCGCTATGCTGAATTCCCGGTCGATATCTCCGAAAGAAACAAGAAAAAAAAATGGCTGCAATCTGAAATCCAAATGGGATTCTTGGTTTTGTTTTTACAAAAAATTACGATGTTCTGGATCTGCTGGATCTTTTCGTTGTCAATCGCATGGGAATAATAAAATCCCGTTCGGATACATTCATTGAGTTTTGCCACGCGCCAACATGCTGCTTCGGCTGCAATAAATGGAATATTGTGTGGTGATTCGCGTGCGCGCACGATAAAACATAACATTAAGTCTCTTAACTGCACTTTTTTTTCCATATTTGTATCCGTTAAATAAAACTCGCACCATTTCATAGAATCATAAGACGAAAAATCCTACGCATTTTTTTCTTTCGTTTCAATGACACACCAACAAAAACAAACATGAGTGTATACGCGTTGGATTGAGCGAGAGGAAGAGACCAGTTTTGAGTGGACACTCAACGAACATGAGCATATTCAATCCCATTCCAAAATTTAAAAAAATTAGCTTTTTTTATGTGATGGTCCCAACGAAGAAGCATCTGAAGTGATTTAGAAAAAACGATAAGGCGAGAGGGAAATTGAGAGATAGAGAGAAAAAAAAAAGAATTAACTTGAAATCAAAGATCTGCCCTCGGTTCGGTTTATTTTTGTTTTCATCAATTTCAACGTCTGAAACACTGTGAAAGGACGCATGTTGCCATTTAATTGTCATGGTCTCTTGCGTTGTGTTGGTTTTGCGTGCAACGTGCACATGAAAATTCATTTTGCGTTTTTGTTTTGTTTTGTTTTGTTTTTTTTTTCAAGCAAAGAGACGTCATTGTGACGCGACATCAATACTCCAATGCTATTGTAATTGTTCCGGTTTGAGGTGGGCAATAAACTATTCCTTTGAAATGGAAAAAAAACGGAGCACGCTAATCCGAGCACAAACATACGTACACACACTCACACTCTCTCCAATTACTAATAAATCCAACCACGTATGTGAGCTGCGGAGCTGCTCCATTTATGCTATTCCATTGCATTTCAAATGGTTTTCCGTTTTTACCTTTTCTCACTCTCTCTCTCGTCCCTCATGTATGCAATTAACACTGAGTAGCCTGAGCTCATTGGACGATAGCGAACTCTTTGGCAGCGACGTTGACGACGATGAGGATTGTGGCAATGTTTCGTGTCCACCTTTTCAAATCGATAGAATCATGCATGATTTAGCAGTTCGTAAGAGTGAAATTGGAATGGAAAAAAAAATGAACAGTGATCCTAATAAGAATCACGCATTGATTTTGCACTTTGTGGGTATTTGAAGCAGCAAATGTGAGACGAGAGAGAGAGAGAGAGAGAGAGAGAGAGATGGAGGTTTTCTGACTCCAAATCACTCGTATCCGCAAATGGTCATTTGGAATGATTGGATCCATTGTGTATTCGTGCTTTTTTTCCCGTGTCTTTTTTATCCGTTTCGAAAAACCCATTCCATTACCGTGTACGTGTGTGCGTTGATTGAACGAAATGACGGAAAACGACACGGATTTATTAGGTTGTCGGCTATTCCAAACTGATGGTTTTTATATCGATTTCGAAAATAACTAAAGGTTAATGCATTTTCTCTCTAATATTGATGAACTCACCCGTTGAACAACATCTGCTTTGATAGGCGTGTTGTGGTTTTGTTTCGGGTGGAAAACCCATTCATTTATTAGAAAACTCCCTTGAAATCAACACCGTATCTAAAACTAACGGCAAAATGCAATTTTCTCATCGGCCGTAGCAGAAAATGAAGAAAAACAGACGAAAGCGAAAAAAGGAGAGAACCAATTACCTTCCACAACCAATTAAGTCGTTTGCATTGCAATTACGCTTGTTTGTGAGTGTGTGTGTGTGTGTGTATATATGGATTTTATCTTCTTTCCTATTTTCAGATAGCGGAAATTCGGTTTGCGTGACTCATTCACATCACTATTAAGTGGGCATTGTTTGTCCTTCTATGTGTTGAGTCGCTTGTTTTCGTTCTTTATTTTCTTTTAATTGAACCATTCAAAGTGATTCCTGAATCGCTTCGTTCAAATGATGTGTGAATGGCGCCGATATTGCTTTTGGAAATTGAAAGTGATGCAATCGATTCGAATCTTGACCTTGACGTTTCAATGTGAAATTACCGCCAAGTCAAACTGCCGACTGGCGCTTTTTTCATTATTTCGAACGGAAATTTACTGCGATTTTCGTTGTATTTTGACTGGCATCGCCAATGTTGTCGTTTAACTGAGACACACAAAAATTCGCGAATTACTGCTAAAGCCAATAAATTTTTAATGACACGTAAACCTAGGAAAGTTCATGTGATTTTTCTGTTTTTTGTTTACGTTCTCCATTAAAGCATGACAATAGCGAAAGAGCACGACAGCGGGTCACTGTCATCACTTCCACAGATAAGAAATATTAATCGTTCGGAGAATGTTATTGGCTGAATCGGTAGCAAACTAAAATTTTTAAAATATTACTCAAAAAACGTTCAAAACCATTAGTTGGAGGCAAGATTTTTTTGGTGCCTTCAGAATTTTAAATTTTGGAATATTATCTCAAACAGAAAAAAATGGAGCCGCATACGGAATATATGATTCCATGTGTTGTTGTGTCGTGTTCGGGGCTGGAATTCTAAGTCATTCCACCAAAATCGTTCGGAATTATTTTTTTCGTACATAAGACCATACTGGAGTGAAAGAGTGAGATTCCACTATTTTTCAGCGGGCCACCGGAATTATTTCTCACACAATCCACTCTTCCTTGAGTTATCGAAATAATTCCGGTAGCCCGCTGAAAAATAGTGGAATCTCTCTCTTTCACTCCAATATGGTCTTATGTACGAAAAAAAATAATTCCGAATGATTTTGGTGGACGGACTTAGAAATTCCAGCCCGGGACAGACGTTTAATAATCTTGGGATTCAAACGTCGTTAGCACGTACATATGTTTTCCTCTGTTTTCTGCGTGCGTTTGCCGTTTGAAAAACTTTTAAGTTTTTTAAACTATTGACTCGCACATTGTTAATATGTACAACATATGCTTCTCTGTTATCGGCGGGCGATCGAAGATTATCAAACTATGGAGTCACTTAAGCGGCTCCCAATATGCATCTGTATCTTATCTCTATTATAATGCTCAATTGCATAATGGCAATGCCAACGGTTTTTTGGAATATTGTACGATTTTATTCTCGTCACGAAATTGGCTGTGTCAGCTAAAAGGATACATGAATGGTTTGGAGCGAAAATGTAATACAGACAAGTTTAGCGGAAAAATGTCGATGATGAATGAGCGGAAAAGGGATAGCTATATAGTAAACTGTATAGTAAACTATAGTGAACTATATAGCTATCCCTTTTCATTTGAAATTTTTCCGCTCAACTTGTCTGTCTTACATTTTCGCTCCAAACCATTCATATATATACAAATACCCAGAAATGAGCAAAAACAGCGCACAACATTTTTTCATTTCTCCGAATCTTGATCTCGAAACCGGGGCAAAAACAATTGGATGATTTTCTATCGATATATATGAATTGAATACAATGGGATCGTCTACGCGGCGACTCAAACTTCTCTGACCTTATGCGAATATGAATAGAATACGATGGATTTGCGCTTGGAAAACTGAGTGACCTCAACACAGACTTTTAAGTTCAACTGAGTTGGTGATCTGTGTGTGTGAGTCTTATTCTGGCTGTTGTTGTTGTTGTCCATTTTGCATACGTAATCAAAATATTCGCTAAATAAATGTACACAATGCTAAAATGCTAATTCCAATTTGAGTAATGTGTACCTCCCCATGCTCTCTCTTCATGCATCGTCCTGGACAAACAAATTCAATTCCGATTCGCCATTCAAACTATTTTCATAAATAATTTTTGTTTTGCACACAGAACGAACGAAAAATAAAATCAAACAGCACGAAATCGGTTTCCGTCAGCAAAATATATTCTCTCTATAGTACTGTGGCACAGGAGTGGTGTTTTTGTGGTCGAATCAACATTTTAGTTTGTAATGCAAAATAAGCGATTTAAATAGAACAAAGGCTGGGTCACTTGGGTTTGTTGTTTCCTTCATCGTCATCGTCGTCGTCGTTTTTCTTCTGCTCCATTCGTCTCTTTGCTTTTGCTTATTCAATAATAATATTTTTATCGGGACGAAGAACCACTTCGGTAATACAATACCAAAATGTGTTGAAACTTTTCGAAACGTCGAAATCCGATATATTGCAAATAATTGGCGGATATTTCGGAAATTACCGAATAACGGAAAGAAAGTTTAGCAAAGATGTGTAATTTGTGTTGATGTTGTATGTGCCATTTCTCCAAATGACTGGATCAACTTTGTTTGCAAAAAAAAAATGGAAATGAAAATGGTTATGTTGTTTCCCAGCTGATTTGTTTGTTTTTCCCAATTTCAGGCGACCAACGAATTTGTCGATTGTATGGACGAGACGATCGAGACGTGTTGCATCGACACCATTACCATGGGAACCGGACATGGTCAATCCACTTGTGGGCCATATTTCATGGGCCGTGCCCGACAATCACACAATCTCAGTCACCCTATTCAAAGATCCACGAACACACGAGCTCGAAGATAAAGATTGGACTTTCGTTATCGAAGATGTAAGTACTTGTACTAACCACAAACAACACTATTACATTTGGAAGACAAGCAAAAAAAAGAGGAAATCAACTGTGATAAAATATAATTCGTTCATTTATGCCGATGGGTAACAGCAGAGGATATTACTGCGTAGAACAATTTCTAGCTATCACTGGCAGTACAACGAAAATGAGCACTCTATTCAATCATACTAGCGAACTTTTTTTTCTGTTTACTGTGTCTTCTCTCGCTTGCTCGCCCTGACTCTACTTACAGTGACTTCAATAAGCATATTATGTTGAAACAGAAGAACTTCTCTAATTGGTTCTCATTACACACGGCAAGACGGGGCTCTATTTTAACGCTAAATCGATGAGAAATATGCTGGTTTTGCGATGCGACTGTTTCTGAAATATTAATTACCATACACATATATATACACACACACACAGATTAGGGCTCTATTTTGTGGTTTATTTGAAATACTTGAACTTAAAGCTTTGAATTGCTATGACTTCCATACCGTCTTTCGCCTCTCTTTCTCTCCCATTCCATCTCCCTTTCCACGTCAATCTCATTCGGTTTTCGTAATGGATTTTAAATCATCCGAAATGTATGGAACATGCTATTGAATTTCATACACAGATAACAACAATGTTCAACGACGGATAATTGATTTCATCAATTTAGTGATGAAGCAGCAAACTTGTTGGAAAAGTACCATTTCATGGAATTTTAACTCCAATTAATTGGGATATTTTTTTTCATTACGCCACACACACACACACACACACACACACACACACACACACACAGGTATCACAAATGGGTAAAAAACGTGTACTGGCATCGGCAAGTATTAATATGCGAAAATATGCTAGCGTGGATCCAACACAGCAATCATTTACCTTGAGCCTAAAGCCAGTTTCACGGAAAATTAGCTCGGCCGAATTAGAGCTTACGCTGAGCTGCGTTTTTCTACGTGAAGGAAAAGCGACGTAAGTTGATTTCGATCGAATCATGAAAATTCGACGTTTTTCTTGTTGTTGCTGCTGCGTAATCTTAATGAAAAATGTTTCCGTAATTTCAGTGACGAGGATATGCAGAGCATAGTTTCGTTGATGTCGGTGAATAATAATTCGGATATTGCTCCATTGGATGATCTTGAGGATATTCCCGATTTGGAAAGTTATGGCGATATATCGGAGCATGTGCTCGATTTTACGGCCCAACTGGAACAACTCACCAATAGCCTAACCAATTCAGAGCTTGCAACCCCAATGAGTGGTAATGATGAAATTCGAATGGAAAATTCAATTAAAATCTCATTAAAATATTTTAACGATAATTATTGTAGTTCCCTCGTTGGCGGAGGATCCAACGCCATTGGCTGAAAAGCAAAATTATCCCGATTTCGAGGAAGATCATCTGCCGCCTTGCCTTGCAACACCAACACCAATCGTTGAGAAACCAACCATCGAAACATCGTCGGAAATACGATTCAATTCATCGCGAAGTTTATTAGTTGATCGAACGAAAATCAAGGACACATTACCAGTTGAAACGAAAGCTGCCGAACTGAAACCAGCCACTGATGACATAACCGATGCAAATAAATCGAAAGATATTAAAGAAATTAGAACGAGCGAAACAGTGGTGTCCGTGCAAAAAGATGAAATTGAAGAAGTGATTAAATCGATTGTGACACCCACGGTGACACCGGCCATAAATCGATCGAGTGTCATCGAATCGACTGGTAGTACGCTCGAAACTCAGAACAATGTAAAAAATATGGAAAAATCGAATTTGGTGGAACGAGAAAAATGCGTGTCATCAGTCATTCCACCATCAGCTACTACTACGACCAATCAACTACCAAATGTTTTTCCACCATCGATTAGAACATCGGAAGACCAAGAACGAAGCCGAATGGAGTTGCAGCCATTGAATTTGAAGAAAAACTACGACAATTCAAAAGTGCTGAACAAAAATGCATTGAAAGATCGTACACCCGGCCAAGATCTACTCGAATGGTGCAAGGATGTCACGAAGAACTATAGCGGAATCAAAGTTACCAATCTCACGACGAGCTGGCGAAATGGGATGGCTTTCTGTGCAATAATTCATAATTTTCAACCAGATTTAATGTAAGAATCCAATTGAACCAAACATTTTAGCACAGAATCATCAATTTTACTCGAATTTTTCACTTGGTTTTTCTGATTTTTTTTTTTTTTGCAGTGACATGAAATCTCTGTCGCCACATGATGTCGTCGGAAATTGTCGCATTGCATTTGATGCCGCTGAATGTTTGGGCATACCGCGACTCATTGAACCCAGCGATATGAGTTTATTGGCGGTGCCCGATAAATTGGCCGTTATGACATATTTGTATCAATTGCGCGCTCATTTCACCGGCCATCAACTACAAATCGAACAAATTGGCAACACCTCCGACGAATCTAGCTATATTATTGGCAATTACAAATCCGATAATTTACCATCACAAAATATTTTATCATTAGACCACCTGAAAAGGCAATTGACACAACAGCATTCACTCGAAGACGATGTTGATCGCTGTGATGAAAAATCACCCATCGACAAAAAAGATGTGAAAAATCTCATTTTAACCGGGTCAAAGCATTTGCTTGGCAAAGTGCTATCACCCGTTAAAGACAAACAATTGCCCATAAATAATAATAAAATCCAAACGAATGGATCACAGTCGAGCAATACGTCAAACATTAATACTCCGGCTGGTAAAGAGAATATGATTCTGATGACACGACGTGAGCTCAACGATCCATTCGGTTCGGACGACGAAGATGAACAAGAATCAGGTTCACAAATCCAAAAGACTACAAGTAACGACGCTGAAAGCCAAAGAAACAATAGCAATGTAAATAAAGCTGAATCACCCATATCCAATCTGGATCCAGCTACGGCAAATGTAAGTTTTGGTTTGACCGAAAAAATTAAGCAAAAAATTGGAAAAAAAAAATCCAAGAAAATACCTCAATTAAAATTTGATTCTTACAAATCATCATCTGTTATCAGAAACTACTCTCACGGCACAAGGAAATGAGTGAAAAAGCCAAGGCAATGATGGAGCGCCTAAAGAATAATACGGCCGCAATGGAAAATGGCAAATCAGATCCAGATGTATGTAGCACGATATCGTTTTCGATAGTTTTTCGGAAATAATTTCAAATTCAATCGTTTTTTTTCTCTCACTATTTTCAATCAGGATGATCGTCAAGCAAGACTATTGAACAATGCTCGTCGCCTGATTGCCGAGACACGTGCTCGATCAATAAATCTCGATTCGCCAACGTCACCGGTCAAATCGATAACGCATCGCATTACATTGTCACCCGAACGAACAATATCGCCAATCAATAATGCGGATGGTTTCAATTTTACGTCAAACAAATCGAGTAACAGCAAAGAGAATTCGCCCAGCAAATCGAAGAACAATCATAGTTCATCGCCACGTATCACACCACCCAGAGATGTTGAAAATAATCACAGCAATAGTCCAAATCAAAACATCGTGTTCAGCGAAAGGAATGGCAACTCACCAACGCTGCAAAGTTTCAATTCCGTTTTGGAAAGTCTAACGCCACAACATGACAAGAAGGTACAGTCGATCGATCGAATTTTTATTCTGTTGGTCGTTCGTTTTTTTTGGGGGGGTGTGTTTTAAATTGATAGCATATGTTTTTTTCCATCCAGATTTCGTACATCGAGAGCGAACTAGAGGCTTTGGAACGTGAGCAAGAAGCAATCGATTTGAAAGCCCGAGCATGTGAAAAGAAACTACGACTTGTGATGAATGGAACGTCAACAAGTAAATACAATTCCTTTCCTTCTCTGTCCATTCATCTGACGTGGAATAAAAGGAAACGATTTTTATTTTGTCCGACTTTTTTTTTCTCTTGCAGACGAAGAAGAAACGGAAGAACAATTGCTGTCTCAGTGGTTCACTCTAGTCAATAAGAAAAATGCTTTATTGAGACGTCAAATGCAATTGAACATTTTGTGAGTCGTTTTTTTTAATCATTCAATTCAAAAGTGGCTTTTTTAGGGTATTATGTTGTTTAGAACCAATTTCAATCGATTTTTTTTTTCCTCAACTGTTTCAGGGAACAAGAAAGTGATTTAGAAACGAAATATGCTCTGTTGAATCGTGAATTGCGGGCGGCGTTATCGGTTGAAGATTGGCGAAAATCGCAGGCACAACGAGATCGTGAAGCACTCTTACTGGCCGAACTGGTGACCATTGTTGATAAGCGAAACGAGCTTGTGCAGCATCTTCATAGCCAAGAGCAGGCGTAAGTTGGACGTTTTACTGTGAACAAAAGAAGAAAAATGATAGATTGATTGACCCACCATTTTTTGTTTGCTCTGTTTCTCTGTCATTGATTTGGTTTCTTTTTTCCATTTTTCAGCATCGAGGATGACGATAAAATCGAACGTGATTTAGAGAATGTCGACATAACGGCAAAGGATAAATGTGTGATTCAGTAAAAAAGTTTAAAAATCCACACACATAAAAGTGTTGAAATTAAAATCAAGCTGTGAATTTAAATTATTAGCAAAAACTGCAAAAGCAAATTACATTTCATAATAAACACACACGACTTTTGATGAAGAAAAAAAAACAGCGAACAAAAAGATCAATGAAACACGTCCGTAGCAATTAAGAAAGGGTCAACTTTCGCGGCATGTCGAATGGCAATAAAAAAAAAGTGTTGTTTTTAGTTCGAATTTGGATTCAAAACCCAAAACGTTAACCTTTCGTTCATTTGCAATACATTTTATTGTTCAATGTTTTATGTTTGAAAAAAATTCATACTTTTTCCACACACTGAATCAACAGTCACATTTAAAAAAAACAGTCACATTTCAAATTTTACTTCCCACAATTTAGACATTCCATCTATTCTACAACAAAAGAAACAATAACCGAAATTATATATCTTATTTAAGGCAGAAACATTTATTTATTTTGAAAATGAGATTAAATTTAAAGCGAAGAAAAAAAAATGAAGAATTGCTCCTCAATGTCCATTTTAACGTTGTTTTTTTTCTCGGAGAAATAAACTCTCACTCATTTCAGCCGTCCCCCTTTCAAAGATCCAATCAATAATTTATCGAAATCAAATTTCGCAACACAAATTTATATACAAATTTAAACAAAAATATGAAGTGAATGTGCTTTTGTGACGAGAAAAACAGCTAAACTAAATCTATTAAGCATAAGAAAATGAGCTATAGAATTTTTGAAATTCAATCACATAAGCAAAAGTATCATCATATACATGTATTGATATGTATGTAGTATGTAAAATGCTATTTAATAATCGACTGAGATTCATCTTGGAAAAAAAAGAATGCAGAAACATATTTTTATTATTTACCACAAGAAAATGAGAAGAAAATCAATTCGTTTAGACTAATATATGTACTTATAAATGAATTCCGTACACAAATTTAGCATCAAATCAACTAATTTAAAACAAAACCAAGAAAAATTATATTCAAATGGGCCGATATACCAAATTCGTTTTTAAGTCAATTTCACTTGACTTGAATCGCAATTAGCTTAATGAAAAAATCTATTTATAATTATTCCTAAAGCTTTATGTAACTCGCGCTTACAAATGATTTTATGCATCAACAACAGACAAAAATACTAAAATTTATCTATTTGTTTAGTTTCATTTGTGGTTTGACGGATGCACAGCCGATATTTGGCCATCCATCGGGATTGTTGATAAGAAACATATAAATCAATATTAACGCTAACGAAAATGGGATACAGAAAATAATTACAACTATTTAACAGACAAGTGTGTATAAGAAGTGAGAGTAAATCTAAATGTTTTCTATATTTTTTTTTGTCATGTAAATTTAGCACATTTTGTGTGTGTGTGTGTGTGTGTGTGTGTGTGTATGTGTGTGTGTGTGTGTGCGTGCGCGCGAGTTTGAAGATTTCAAAAGGACGAAAGATTGTAAGCGCTAAAATGCCTAAGCATTACATTTTTAATGTTTGATTTATTTTTGTGTACGAATCGAGCATATTTTTTAAGAACATTGGGAAATATTATTGTATATTTTCATTTTTCGCTGTCTTTAAATTGAATGTGTGAAAATACTGAACTTACGAGTGGAATATGTGAGATAAGTCTGCAAAGTGGAACATTTTTTCCCATTGAAATTTTACTCAAATAAAGTACGAAGCAACTAGAAACTATGCAAACAAGTGATTCTTTTTCGTAGAAAATCCCATTTGCATTTTATTTTTGTCTTTTTCGTCAATAGATTCAAACCAAATTTCGATTTTACCGTTTCTCTTTCGAAACAAACAAATCGCATCATCAATGTATTTTGTATCATCTTCTCATCGACAAATTTTTCGAAAGAAAATGGGCGAACATTTACTATTTTCTAATAACTTTGTATGCAAAGTTTGATATGAACAAAATAAAAACTATTTAAAGGAACATATAAATTCGATAATGAAATGAAACATTTAATGGATTCAGTAATGAAAATACGCTACTTAACGAATGATAATAAAAGGACATGAAACTAGTACCAAAATGTTGTTTTTTTTTTCTTCGCATTTTTGTTGAGTAGATTCATCTATCTATGTTTTTTGTTGGTAAGTATTGGTATCAAGGGGGAAATCACTAGAAAGTAATTGCAGTAATAGCAAAGTAATAGTTGAAATTCTAAAGTAATAGCAATTATTTTTTGTGTAACTATTACTTTGCTATTAACTTGCTATTATGTCCAAAAATCAACAATTACTTTGCTATTACTTTATTTTTGCTATTAGTTTGCTATTACTTTTCAGATTTGCATGGAGAAAAGTAATAGCAAATAGCAAACTAATTGCAAGCAATAGTGGCCAATAGCAAAGTAATAGCTGAGTGATTCCCCCCTTGATTGGTATAGTACTTAAATATACAATGATTATATTATACATATATGTATACAGTCTCACCGAAGTAAAAGTGACATTAGATGAAAAAAAAACTTAAATATAAACACCACCAATAGAGGAAAAGATGAAAAAACGTTAGACTTGAATCACAAAAAATGCCGAATTTCAATCAAACCATTTCGTTCTAAAAAAAACTGTAAAATTCAAATACAAACCGTCTTCACCAGAACAAGCGTCGAAACGAAAACAAAATTTCAGCGACGAAGACAAAAAAAAGGGTAGGTTTATCCATTTTTGCTGCGGATGGTAATTGAAAAAGAATTCAAACCGTTATTACATATGAATTTCTTTGAATTTTCATCATTTTTCAGAAGTTAACCAAAGAACACAAACACCACATTCTGACGAAGTACGTACACAGGCACCAATTATAGATTTTCTATTACGATTTATCAGAACAAGATGCTGGTTCGTATGTTTTTAGTCGCTATTTCAATGATTACGAATCAATTAAATTGACTAAATTCCAATAGGGACAAGTACATCAACGAAGAACACTCGTCCAACGGAAGAAATTCCAAAGAAAAAAGTGAAGTGTAATTTAGAAGAAATTGCAGTTTCAACCGAATTGCTGTCAGATGTGCAGCTGAAAATGTCGCCAAATTTCCCGATAAGAAAATGGTAAAAGAGGCGTTCGAAATGGCGGTGAAGGAGGCAGCAAATGTATCAGCAAAGGTATCAGCATACGAATCGACTCTAAAAGCAGCCGGTGGACTCCTCAAGGACAAGGTACTGGTGGAAGATATAATAAAGTTGTACAAAACGGTGTTTTCGACTGATTCCAAGCATAAAAAGGCGATCACCAATAACCGCGAGAAAGAGCTGACCGATGCGACCGATGAAGAGAGTGATTGATTTCAAAACCATTTCATATCAACTAATAAACAAACATCCAAAATGCTACAACTCAAAAGTTCAAATGCAAAATGTTCAAATTTAAGAAAAATAAATAAATCCAAGTTTACAACATGATAAAACTGATGCTTATCATTGGAGTCTTTCCGAAATATTTCAGTTGATGTGATTGATGAGTGTTCGAACGGTCATTATTCAAGCGATACATGCCGAAATGAGTACGTGTTTTGTTGTCAGTATGCGTCATGCGTGCACATTTGACACTTGAGGCAATATCATCTAGGTAATATATTCGTGTTTGCATGTGTTTGTGTGCATTCAATCATGTATTATGCATACGCATACCTATAGTTGGGAAAGGCACATGTACGTGAGCCGTCACAAATAGCTATTCATACCGCAATGTATCGCATCGTACCGCTTCAATATCTCCAACCGTTGTGTCGCATACACAAACTAACAACACTTCGTTTTAGTATAGTTTGCTGCTAGTTTCAATACATACGAACCGAGAAAAAAAAAGACAAACACCGAGCCGAATGGAAAATACATCAAGTAATATTTTTTCATTCGAATACACATAAACACACACACACATTCATCGCGCGTCATTTTCAATCATCTTAGTTAGCGTTTCGTTTTGACGAAGCAACAAAACAAATATAGTATACACCAGCAACAACAAAAAAAAAACAACGTATACAAAACACATACCATATCATCATTACTACTTGATTCCAGTTAATAGATTACACATTCGCATAATTACGATCAATTATTACACACGAGAAACATCGCGCGAAGTAAGAGAAAAACGAAATAAGTGCCTAAAATCAAAAATCGCAACGACGATCAAAAAAATCGGTGTGTGTTTGGCATCGAAAGAGAGAGAGAGAGAGAGAGAGAGAGAGAGAGAGAGAGAGAGAGAGA